TCAACCTCTGGCCCCGTGTCTCCTTGCCGGAGACCTCGCCGACACTGCGTTGGACGGGAGAGGTTGGCGACGCGTCGGTGTTCCGGGTCTGGGAATCTCGTGCCTTTCTCCGCGATACGTCCGCGGACAAGCTCTCCACCCGCGCCATTCCCTGTGTCTTTCTTGGTTTTCCCCCTGACGTGCCTGGCTGGCAGTTTTACCACCCCACCTCGCGCCGTGTCCTGCCCTCTCAGGACGTCACGTTCGACGAGTCGGTTCCCTTTTACCTGCTCTTCCCCTACCGCACTGCCCCTCTCCCCCCCCCGCCGCTCTTCCTCGCACCAGGTCCTCCTCCGGTAGACCCCCTCCCCCCTCAGGGTCCTGCTCCCTCAGGTGTGTCTCAGGTAGACCCTGTCGAGCCTGTCGAGGTAGCTGTTGACTCTGGTGCTGCTAGGGGTGCTGCGACTGGGGGTGCTGAGCCTGAGCGTGTGGAGCCGGGGGGTGCTGAGCCTGAGCGTGCGGAGCCTGGGGGTGCTGAGCCTGGGGTTGCTGAGTCTGAGGGTGCGGAGCCTGGGGGTGCTGAGCCTGAGCGTGCGGAGCCTGGGGGTGCTGAGCTTGGGGGTACTGAGCCTGAGCGTGCGGAGCCTGGGGGTGCTGAGCTTGGGGGTGCTGAGTCTGAGCGTGCTGCGCCTGGGGGTACTTTGTCTACTAGAGGTTCTCCGGGTGCCTCGTCACGGCGGGAGACTCTCTCTCCACCGCATCTGCGCGAGTGGTTTTCTCGGCGCTGGAGCCTTCAGCGTGACGCTGCTAGAGCTGGGGGGCCTGCCGCTGGAGACCCTGGAGCTGGAGGCGCTGGAGCTGGAGGGACCGGGGGTGCTGGAGTTGCTGGTCCTGTAGGTGCTGGAGGTACTAGAGGTTCTCCGGGTGCCTCGTCCCGGCGGGAGCCTCTCTCTCCACCGCAACTGCACGAGTGGTTTGCTCAGCGTTGGAGTCTTCAGCGAGCCGCTGCTGGAGCTGGGGGGCCTTCCGCTGGAGGCCCTGGAGTTGTAGGCCTTGGACCTGCTGGTCCTGGAGGTGCTGGAGGTACTGGAGCCGCTGGTCCCGGAGGTGCTCGTACTGGAGGTAATGGAGCTGCTGGACCTGGTGGTGCTGCAGGTGCTGGAGCTGCTGGAGCTAGAGCTGCTGGAGGCACTGGAGCTGGAGCTGCTGGAGGTGCTGGAGCCGCTGGTCCCGGAGGTGCTCGTACTGGAGGTACTGGAGCTGCTGGAGCTGGAGGTGCTGCAGGCGTTGGAGCTGGAGGAGCTGGAGCTGCAGCTGCTGGAGGTACTGGAGCTGCTGGTCCCGGAGGTGCTCGTACTGGAGGTACTGGAGCTGCTGGAGCTGGAGGTGCTGCAGGCGTTGGAGCTGGAGGAGCTGGAGCTGGAGCTGCTGGAGGTACTGGAGCTGCTGGAGCGGGAGGTGCTGCAGGCGTTGGAGCCGGAGGCACTGGAGCTGGAGCGGGTGGTGCTGCTGGAGTTGGAGCTAGAGACCCTGGAGCTGGAGGTACTGGCCCTGGGGGTGCTAGTGCTGTCGGTGCTGGTTCTGGAGGCACTGCGCGGCCGCGGCCGTACTTCGTTCCACTGCTTCAGCAGGTTCTTGGTCTCCCGCCTTCTACTGGCCCTACTCCTCCCTTACTGTGTCCACCGCCTGACCAGTCACAGTCGCAGTTACAGCCAGCCTCCCCACTGCCTGGTCCTTCTCCTTACACTGGGCCGACCGGAGGTCTTGCGGAGCGTCGTGAGCCTGAGTCTTGTCCTGCGTCGCCTGTCCGCGCTGTTCGCACTGGTCGTCGTGTTCCACGTCCGCGTCCTCCTCCTGTCCCAGGCACGCACCAGATGGCACTTCGTCCTTCCTCTGTTCCACAGCGTGTCCCTCTGCCGTCTCCTCCTGCGTCCTCTCTTCCTGACGTTGCTGACCCGCCGTCAGACCTTGCTCGTGCTGCCAGTCCTACTGTCACTCGTCTTCTCGCTACTGTTGTCACTGACCCTTCGTTTGAGTCCACTGCTGCATCTGCCTTAGTTGCTGAGCTTGTTGACTTTGCTGCCGCCTGTCGTCTAGACTACGCCGCTAGTCTTGTTGCTGAGTCTGAGTCTGAGTCTGTCTGTCCTCCGTCCGTCGGGGGTGAGTGTGCCCTTAGCACGGACGTCCTTGAGGACAGACAGGAGGAGTTTGAGTGCTTTGCCGCTGCTTTACCTCATCTCGTGTCCATGCTGCTTGCCCATGAGGGAGACCCGGATTCGTCGACGAAGTTCCCCACCTGGGGCGAACATCGTCAGTGGCATGTGGATTTTCAGGGTGAAGCGGCCGCCGGGTTCTCCGCCTGTCTTCAAGGCGCGTTACGTTGCACGAGGCTTCAGTCAGCGAGAGGGAGTTGACTTCTTTTAGACCTTCTCCCCTACCCCGAAGATGACCACTCTTCGGGTGCTGCTGCACGTCGCCGCTCAGCGTGACTACGAGCTTCACTCTCTTGACTTCAGCACAGCCTTCCTACAGGGCAGCCTGCACGAGGAGATCTGGCTGCGCCGCCCACCTGGCTTCACTGGGTCGTTTCCTGCTGGTACCCAGTGGAGCCTCCGGCGGCCAGTCTACGGTCTCCGCCAGGCGCCTCGCGAGTGGCACGACACTCTGAGGACGACGCTTGCGGCTCTTGGGTTTGCTCCTTCCTCTGCTGACCCGTCGCTGTTTCTACGCACCGACACCTCTCTGCCGCCGTTCTACATCCTCGTGTATGTCGACGACTTGGTCTTTGCTACTGCTGACACTGCGGGACTCGCCTTTGTGAAGTCGGAGCTGCAGAAGAGACACGCGTGCACAGACCTGGGTGAGCTGCGCAGCTATCTTGGCTTGCAGATCACCCGGGACAGAGCACAGCGCACCATTACCTTGACTCAGTCACACATGGTGCAGCAGGTCCTTCAGCGCTTCGGCTTCACGTACTCCTCGCCACAGTCCACTCCTCTGCCTACTCGCCACTCACTCTCAGCTCTGCCTGCGGATGAGTCCGTAGAGTCGAGTGGCCCGTATCCAGAGCTTGTGGGCTGCCTCATGTAGCTGATGACCTGCACTCGACCTGACCTTGCCTACCCTCTTAGCATCCTGGCACGCTATGTTGCTCCTGGGAGACACCGACCAGAGCACATGGATGCCGCTAAGAGGGTGTTGCGCTACTTGTGCAGTACGTCGGGCATGGGGCTCGTGCTTGGAGGACGGGCTCGAGTTGTCCTCACTGGTCACGCAGACGCTTCGTGGGTTGACGACTTGGCTACGCAGCGGTCGTCACAGGGTTACACTTTCAGCCTTGGCTCCGGCTCTGTTTCGTGGCGGTCTACCCGCTCGTCTTCTGTTCTCAGTTCCAGTTGTGAGGCTGAGATCTACGCAGGGGCCATGGCTGCACAGGAGTTACGCTGGCTCACCTACCTACTGACCGACTTGGGAGAGCCGCCTCGTTCTCCTCCAGTTCTGTACGTCGACAACAAGGCCATGATTGCCTTGTGTCAGGAGCACAGACTGGAGCACAGATTGAAGCACATCGCTCTGCGCTACTTCCTTGCTCGAGAGTTACAGCAGCGTGGTCAGCTTCGTCTTGCTTACGTGGCCACTCGGGCCAACACTGCTGATATCTTCACCAAGGCACTTCAGCCTTGTGATCATCAGCGTTTCTGTACTGTTCTAGGCCTTGTGCCTACTTGGCCTCACTTGCTCACTTCTTGACTTTGCTTGTACTGTGATCTCTATACATATACGTGCATGCTTACACTTGCTAGGTTGTGATCACTGTATTGCTTGTTCTCCTTTATATAAATCTGCATGTGAACTGGCCTTGTGGCCATTTGCTTGTGCTCAGAATGCGTGGTGACTTCGTGATCCACCCTGCGCTTGCTTTGCTTATCTTGACTGGTCTTGTGACCTCTTGTTCTCCCCCACTTTGCCTATGGGGGTGTGTCAAACTTATATGCTATATCTTGTGTAGGCTATAGTAGGGTAGCCCATATGGGGTACAACCCAATTAGGGTTAGTACTTGTACCCATCCTGCTGTTAGTAAATCATTCCTCGTTCATTCTCCTGACAGAATGTGGTCTCCAACGCGCCACACAAGGCCTCAAGGACGTGTTCAACGGCGGATGTCACTTGACAATCTGTACCTCCACGACCGGGACCTCCCCACCGACCAAGGCGGTCGCAACTGGTCGACCGAGAGTGCACGAGCGATTCGCACTGCTCCAGCTTTCATATTTATATCACACGTCTAGCGCTACGCCAGCTTTCATCCAAGCATCCATATTGACCCAATGTGATGACCTATCTGCAGTAGTTCCTTGTTTGAGAATGGGAAAAGCTGTACCAAGACACGGTGGAGTCATTATCCACACCCCTGCTACCACGACACCAACCTAACGGCGTCGGTGTCCCTGCCAGGGCGGAAGGCTTGGCGCGACGTGGCAGTCTCAGGTGGGCAGTCATGTCACTCGAAGCAACGCCAGTCTGCACACCATCCCCGTCCGTAATGGAGGCAGTCTGCGCCAAACATCCAACAGACCTTGATACGCCACTCACCTGGTCAATCACTATAGCAGACTCACAGCTGTCAGTGTCGCTGGATGCCTTTCTTAAGGTATGATTACGTTGCAAAAATGGGGTTGGCACGACATTTGAACATTTACGCGACGTTGCCCTGGTCAATGCTGCTGTGGAAAGCCATCTCCACACGCCTCCTCACAGCATCCCACCGCGTTGCCCTTAGCAAGCTAGACGGTGGGACAAGGCCCATCGCCTTTGGGGAATGCATCACACGCCTCGCATCAAGAACAACTCTCACACTGACAGCATGTGGGGCACGTGACTACTTTATCCCTCAGCAATTTCGTGTGGCCGTGCCAAGGGGGGTCGAGGCGATTATACATACCGTATGCGCGTACACTGCAACGAATCCCAACGCACTGGTACTGCATGCCAACCTTGCCAATGCTTTAACAGCGTTGGCATGGCTGCTATAGTAACTGCCCTCCATGACTCGCAGCTCGCCCTCTGTTGCCGTTGGTCCGCATCTCGTATGGACGACGATGACGTAAGTTTCCTCGGGAAAGCGGTGACGTGTGTGGCCGCGTTCGACCACTTCACTGGTGGCCTTGTCAGAATAGGCCTACGTACAAACCATCAAAATGCGCCGCCTGGTCGTGCACAGCACCTCCGACCCAACGCATGCTCTCACTGTCGGGATACGGTGCGAGAGATTGATTGAAAGTTGTGCCATTCTCTCCATCTCTGAGACTTGCGCCCGCTCACTTCGCCACCGCCCTCCAATTCCAGCTTCGCCTCCCCTTCTCGGCCCCTGGTGCGTGAGACTGGCCCTAAACGACACGTGGTATATATTTATACCCTGTATGTACCAGTTAGATGGCCAATATTTCGCTCCTTTTGCACTTGTGCGTTCTATCCCACTGTTGCAAAGGTGACATCACACAATATTCCATTTACTACAGAAACCGAACAAGCAAATGCATTGGAAGCAAGTGCAATATATTGCTCAATTACACCCTAAAGCAAGTCTGTCAAAGCCGTATTCTCTTGCCAATATCCATCTAGAGGTTGTGCTAGCACAGTCCACTCGAGTAGCTCATTGCCATCAAACGACATTGACTCGAGTAATCTGTCAAAATTCTCCAGCGCCTTCCCGTCCTCTGGAACACCTCCCATGGCTGGCGGCATGAGTCCCTTTTCCCCAGTCTGCTGGCCACAGAAGGACTCCGCACCCTTTTGGACATTGGCAATGCCCACCTGATCATCACACACACCAATTTGACCATCACCCATGCCTGTTTGATCATCACACCTGCCAATCGGACCCCCAACCATGGCAATCTGACCACCTTCGGTGATATTTTTACCATCAAACGTGCCCTTGCCTTGCTGCAAGAATGTCTGGGAGGATAGCATCTCTTTCCTGGCCTGCAGCTGTGACTCTAGCGGGAGTTCCGTTGCTGTTTTTATGGCTCCTGGTGCTGCTACTACCAGGCTTGGGACATGGATCTTGGCATGAGAATGTGCAGGTAAAGCCATTGGTTTATCTGCTGCTGCTGCTGCTGCTGCTGCTGCTGCTGCTGCTGCTGCTGCTGCTGCTGCTGCTGCTGCTGCTGCTGCTGCTGCTGCTGCTGCTGCTGCTGCTGCTGCTGCTGCTGCTGCTGCTGCTGCTGCTGCTGCTGCTGCTGCTGTTGGCGCTGCTGATGGTGGTGGTGGTGGTGGTGGTGGTGGTGGTGGTGGCGCTGCTGCTGCTGTGAATGGTGATGCTGGTGCTGGTAGTGCAGCAGCTGCTGGTGGTGCCGCTGCTGGTGACATAGCAAGGCTTGATGCCTGAAGTCCTGCCGCCAATTGCACCAGAGGCAAGTCCGTTACTTGTGGCTGGTCCGCATTGAAATACTGTAGCTGTTCCAAAGGTGACACTGGCAAAGGTGACTGTAGCGGTTGTCCTGCTGGAAGCAACCGTGTAGGTGATTGTATCGGTGGTCTTACAGGCACCATATCTGAAGGGGACTGTAGTGGTAATCTTGCAGACATCAGATCCGCAAATGATCGTATAAGTGAACTTGCTGAGACTAGATCTGCAGCAGTTGACTGTGTCGATGATCCTGCTGTTACCAAATCCACGCGTGACAGCACCGAACAAGCTGTAGCTAGAGGCATATGTGTTGGAGATGGATGGCACGCGGTGTTATGGGATGGTGTGCGGTGGGAGGAGGTGTGATGTGATGGGGCGTGCTGGGATGGCAAAGGATAGGATTGGCCACGTTGGGCTGGGGCGTGATAGGTTAGGGCATGGCTGGTTGGGGAGTTATCAGTTTGATCAGGATCAGTCGGAGTATGATTGGTCGGAGCAGGATGGGTTGGGATAGCCAGTGCTGTGAGTGCATGCTGCACAAGCTGCAATGGAGAAAAACGCACGAGAGGGGACGGGGTGTCAGCAGGAGAAACGTACGAAGATGATTATGCTGGTAACTCGAAAAATGAAAGAAAACAAGAGAAAAAAAAGCTAACCTTGTTGTTCATGTCGGTAAATGAATCCAAGGGGGCAGCTCCCATAGCGTTAGTTAAGTGGGCAGCTCCCATAGAGTTAGTTAAGGGAGCAGCTCCCATAGAGTTAGTTAAGGGTGCAGCTCCCATAGCGTTAGTTAAGGGTGCAGCTCCCATAGCGTTAGTTAAGTGGGCAGCTCCCATACTTTGAAGTAAGGCAGCTGCAAATTGATCAAGCATCGACCTACGACCAACCAAAGGAGCGGAAACGGAAGCAGCAGCGATTGGAGCTGAAGCAGAATGAACAGGATACGTAGCAGATGGGAGGGGATCTTTTGGTGATGAAGCTTCGAGTTGGGTATGAGGAGCATAGTACAGGTTCTTGCATGCATCCAATGCGTCCAGCACAGTAGCAATCGTAGTAGCAGCAGCAGCAGCACCACCACCACCACCACCAGCAGCACCAGCAGCAGCAGCAGCAGCAGCAGCAGCAGCAGCAGCAGCAGCAGCACCACCATCATCACCAGCTGCAGCAGCAGCTGCTGCAGCAACGGCACCAGCAAAGCCTGAAACCATACTTGCACCAGTAGCCTGGACTGCTGCACCTGGAACACCAACAAAGCTGCTGCTGCTACTGCTGCTGCTGCTGCCGCCTTGAGTCGTGTGCATGCAGGCACTGCTGCTATCAGAAGCTCCATTCAGTCGCCTCGCTCCCTCCCCCAACAGTCCTTGCCACTGGACCACCCTTGAGAGCACGACCTCCAATTCAGCCGGCGTCAGAAGCTCCACAAGCAGCGTTGCAACATCACAATTGCTGCTTTCGACAACCTTGGCACAAGCTGGAATCTGCCACTCATGCGTAGGAGCGGCTGTCGAGGCTGCTGGGGCTGTTTGCCCTGCTGGGTCTGCTGCAAAGGCTGAAGCTGCCATGCCTGCTGGTTCTGCCGGTCCTGCCGGCCCTGCCTGGCCCGCCGGGCTTACCGGGTTCGGAGACTGGTCCGGAAAGCGGTGTGGCAGTACAAGGCTGCCCCTTTGCACTCCTTGAGTGGTGCACGAAGCTGTTGGAAAGTGTGGTGCAGTCTCAGCACGGCAAGCAGGCCAGGGCCCTTCCTGGCAGCAGCTGGCGTCGCGCCTCTCCACCTGACCATCCGATTTGGCTTCCACAGGCGTTGCCCTCTGCCGCTTTGAAGGCTCGTAGCTCAACTCCCCAGGCCGGTGGTTTGTTCTCTCGACAGCACTAAGGCTTGACTCCCAACCAGGCTGGAAGCTCGGTTTACCCTTGGCTTGGCTTATCTCCGCTGGATCTTTGCTTAGTGCCATGATCTGATCACACATGCTTCTGAAGATCAATTGCTGCATTGTGTCAGCACTCCCCTGGGAGTGGCCCGCAGGCGGAAGGGAAGGGCGAGCCTCCTTGGGTTTGGCTTGAACTAGAGAGCGAACGGACGGTATGAGGTCAGTGACTGCTTTACTAGATGTACCCATGGTCTTTCTGGGGCTGTTAAATGGCACGACGGAAATCGACTGAGGGATTGTCGCGAAAGGATTTTCCGAGGGGCCTTTCAAAGGCGCGTGACCTGGGTTGCGGTGGACCTCCAGGGATGCAGAGAGGGGCTCTTTGCAGTTCATATCTTCTTGAACAGGAGCAGCCGTGGCACTTGTCGCGGCGTCTCTGCGGCGGCGGCGCTTGAGGCCCAACGAGGAAGGATGGTTGTGGAATCCGGAGGTCGTCATCCGCATCACCGTACGCATTTCCACGCGGGCAGAGGAAGGAGGAGGTGTCTCCTTGAGCATCCCCATGCGCTCAGGGCCGGTGGCGGCGTCATAACCAGCAACACGTGCAGGATCAACAGCAGCAGCAGCAGTGGTGGGGGGGGCAGCGGCGGCGGGTGGCGCGGGGCGCTGGCCGCGAGGCGGGCCGGGGGTGCGGTCCTCCACTTTCCGCGCCGTGCATCCCGTGACGGCCTTGCACACACACGTGAAGTAGATCCTGGTGGGTGGAATCGCGGGAGAGAGGTGCGTACAAGGGGGAGGAGATTCAGCCTTGCACACACACACGTGAAGTAGATCCTAAGGTGGGGACTCCCCAAAATGTTCCGTCTCGAAAGTCACTTTGAGGACCAAGTCTGAGCTTCTGTCCGATATGTTTCTTTTAGGATACTTTTGGGTCACATTTTTATCAAATTTCTGTCCTGTAAGTGTCTTTTAGTATAGATTCAGGACGGTTTCATTCAGGAGCAGAGACTTCGTCCAAAAAGAGTCTGAGAGACAGTTTTAGGACTATTTTAGTAGTACTAGGCCTTGCATTACACGATAAGTCGATCCCTGGTGAGAGATCATAAGAGATAGGACCGTAAGCATGGGAGAGATCACACGATAAGCGTGGGAGAACCGTAAAAAACCTCTAACTTGGTTCAAAGATCGGCATATTCATATCCAGGGTGAAGCAGTAGACTCCGATTCTTACCTTTTCACAGTCCGATGGCAGAGCCATTTATGAGAGACTTTTTGCCAGCGAAAACGGCTAGAGTCTTCTTCCGTTTGATTTAAGGAGGGGCACCGCGACGACTCTGGTACGCAGGGCAGATCGTTAGCTGCATCACTTCTGCCTCCGCTAAAAGTTCCCATCCGCTAGTAGTAGTACAGGTTGTTGAGACTGCTCAAAACCGCGAGTTTGTTTTTTCTGACTTGGGAAAACCTCAAAAGCCTCTTACGAATCTCGAGAGCTAGTCATATAACGTCAGTCACTCAAAGCCTACGTGACTTGTGAGGGCTGCTAGGAAGTGTCAGTAGTTAGTCTACTGACAAATCTGAATGTCACAAGAAAGTGGAAACCCTACCTGCTATAACTTGCTGGCTCGAAATGGCAATATTGCTTGAAACGGAAGGAGGACTGGATGGAGCAAATGGGAGGCAAGGAAGAAGGAATGGCCACATACAGGTGTTCCGGGTTAGAGGCCCTCGCTGAGAGAGTCCCTTTTCCCCCTGAGTAGAATTTTCCGATATCGCCTAGGGTTGGCCCCACCCCTAGAGTCCCGTTTTTGGCGGGAAATCTAGCAGCTTGACCGAATCATTGCACGAATCAGCTCCGCAGCCAATCAGAGGCTCCATATCGAACCAGCCCCAACATTCATGGAAAACGATGAAGAAGGGATCATCGATTCGATATTTTAAATTTTAAATTGTAAGTAATTGTTTCTCTTGACCGCGACTACTTCTCAATCCGGTCGCGCTGTCTCCAGCGCGATCGACGATGACATCTCGTTTATCTCGCTTACTGGGTAGATAAGAAGTTTTTGGGTTACTAGACGACCCCCAAACCATAGTTTATTTTGTTTTGTTTTGACCGTTAGTCATGCGACATTGATCAGCGTGGAAAACCGTGCGACTGGAAGTTCAAGCAAGCGCGGTCCAAATCTACGTAAATGCCAAACTCCAGAAACTAGTAGCAAAACAACCACTCTTCATGCAGTTTTCCTGAACGGGACTATAAGTATCGCGTTTTGCCTGGGGTTCCAAGGTTTTGCCACATAGTCCGCGCGCGGCGATGTTGATCCGTTGGACTATAAACGAGAACACTTGTATAATTAATGGGCGGCCTTGAAGGAAGAAACACTGTGCTGACAGGCTGGCGTACTATTTCTAGTTGCAGCAGTGCCACGGTGCGCGCAAATCACCCGTGTATATACACTGTAACATGTCAGAAGGCAACACCACCATTTCCTCAAATGTCGAGGAATACCCTATTCTCTAACCTTCGAATGAAGTTCCCGCAACCTAAATACCAGTCTACCCGAAGTGGCTCGGCTTCGGGATGACCGTGACCCGAAGTACGAATCAGAAGACCCGAAGTGGAAGGCAGTTCTAATTTAGTGCCTGACATGGGCGTGTCTTGGGGTTTCCGAACCTACCGTGTTTTAAGTGACGTGTATTGATTGAGTAGGCTTTTGTAGTACACCGACGCCTCAGGACCCTCATCAGTGAAGTTTGACCCTGTAAAATCGAGAGAAACCATCAACACGGACTCCAAATCCGAAGGCTACCAGTGACCACATCGACAACAACAAGTCCCTTCCACAGTAGAAAACTGCCAGTAGAAAACAACGTCGAGTGAGACTGTTACTTATCGGTGCTTCTCGCTGGTTTCGCTGGTGAGGAGGAATGAGGATCCGACTGAGGTTCCACAAAATTCGACGACTGATTCCGCACGCGACGAGAATCCAGCTGGCGATGCACGCAGTGACACTGTGTTGTGCGATGCTTCGTTGGCGAAGAGTGATGTTGCTTCGCTTCGTCGCGTACGGCCAAACTACCCGCGGATTTCGTCTACAGTTCCGAGTCAAGCAGGGCATCCTCGTTTCTCGTGTTGTGAAAATTTATGTTCGCGAGCCAGATTTGTTCCGACAATACCCGCAATAGACTGACTATGCAGGGTTCCCTCGTCAGAACCTTCTGGCGCTACAGAGAGAGCAAAACTGACGTTCCAATTTCGTCCGACTCTGCTTAGGTAAGCTAACCTGGTGGATTTCCATTTCATTTCATTTCATAAACCTGTACCACTGGCTTTTCATCCTGATAATTCTTCGCCAGAATGCTACTGCTTTTTTGAATCTGTACATGTTGAGTCTTTTATTTGATTCGAGGACTTTCATTCCATTTATTTGATTCGAGGACTTCCATTCATTCGAGGTTTGAATGAGTGGTGGTGTCGCAGTCTAGGAAACAGTAGAGAACAGTTATCAGCTGGATGAAATCGAAGCACTGTTGACTCCTTCACGGGATGCCTCTGAAATCCACGGATGACATCCCCTCTACCCGGATATAATGTATTTGAGGTCTTCATTTCCAGGGTGTCGGATTTATCACCTCAAAGTTGTGAGTTAGGTCCGCCAATATCGACCCCCCGTTTTACCGCGTTGTTCTGCATGACTTGGCTGTGGGTGGGATGGCCAGGCCCGAGGTGGGTGAAAGAAGAACGTCGTTATGGACCCGCGGCCAAATTCCCTGACGCGCTTACTGGTGTGGTGTGGTTTGGCGTTCTGTACAATCAGGGCGCGTTGCTGCAACGAAAGCCAACTTACCATCTGAGCCAGCTGCCCAGTTGGCCTCAAGGACGGCTATCCAGCGACAACCAAACCCAACCGAAAACGTGTTTGTTGTCAATCTCTATGTGTGTGGTGTACGGTGACGGACAGCAAAAGAGATACACCTGTTGTTCTATACAAGAGAATATCCCGATCAGGTGTTCTGCAATGTCTCCCGACATCGACAAGGCCATTTTATTCCTTTTTTTCTGAACAAAGCTGAATTTGCAAAATAAAACGCGAGAAAAAACACCATCGACGGTCGTAACCGTTGTCAAGGCCTTGTAACGGACGGTGCCAATGTGGACGGACCTGTGCAGTCTGTCTACCCCAACTGTTGGTTTATTGTCCAGGACAGTTAATGTTTTCCTCATGCACCATAGGTTGTATTCAAGAGGATATGCTACGCGCGAGAAATCACAAAATGCGTCTGTATCCAATAGGAGGTTGCAATATATAGATACTACCATATGTAATCCGCTACAGACGTATTTGGGAACCAAGACAACAACGCGAATCAGAAATGGGAGAACCAGCCACCCAGATTACATACATGAACTGACAAAGATAACACATCAACACCTTAACCAATATGTACACTGGGGAGGATAAGAACAGAACTATTGCAAGCAGATTATGAACGTGTTATATGCTTATGAAAGTGGAGAAGCAAGCTCTCCCTTTTCCTCTCAATAAGATCCAACTCCCCATCCCTATTTCCCACCTTTCTCTTCCTCGGTGTACTGTCTACTGTAAAAGGCAATCCCTTTTCCAGTACAAGATCACCACCTACACCTTGAGGAGGTCCTCTATTTCCAATCAATCCGACCAATCGGCGCTCTTGAAGCATGGCTCCAAGTACCATTGCAACCCAGGAGTCCGGAACCCCTGGGAGACACCAGTGTACACAATCTTTATTTACTCCGCCTGACCCGACAAACGCGTCGGGGCGGTATACCGAGGCGGACGTCACGTCTATAAGGTGTATGTGCGATTGCGAGAAGATTTTGCGCTGAAGAGGCAGCCATTTGGACGTTTGTGGGTTCCGTTGGCGGTAAAGGGAAACCTGGAGTACGTGGTTTAAGCGTTTGAAAGGGGCGGAGGAGGGGCGGGGAGAAAGAGGGGGGGTTGAGTGGATTAGAAAAGCAGACACCTGGACTATGAGGTTGAAGAGTAGGTGAGGTTCTGGAGTGATACTGCAGAAAGAGCAGCACCATTTCCTTCCTTTCTCTCTCAGACCCATACAAATTCCTTCCTCCCTCCCCTCTGACCGCTGTTCCACGACCCCCTCTCTCACCTCTCCCTCGGTGCGAGGCTCGAAGGAAGCAGCACAGCCGCTCTGCTTTGTGGGAGCAGAGAGAAAGAACACCACAGGCCACTTGGCACCACCAGCAGCAGTACCACGTGTCACCTTGTCATTGGCCCGATCCACCAGCTTCTTTACACTCTGCATGCCAGCCCTGTGGGAAAAAAAAAACATGGGAAACTCCTCAATATGTGCCAACTATCTGAACACAATTGGAATCTGGGTCTAAACTTATAAGATGCCCTGTGCCAGGCCCGAGAGGCGTATGGCACAATAGCCACCTTACCAAAACGCGTGATAGAAGCGCGACTCGTTATAAGCAACTCTCCCCCGTCTGTCTGTAAAGAACCGGCGCCACCTGGTGCGTTTCGGCTGCCAGTGCGCCGCCGACTGCAGCAAAAGCACGTCATACTTAGCTAAGTACCGCCCCCAGCGCCAATCCACGCCCTCCAAATTCACCACCGAATCCTCTGGCGTGATCGGGCGGCCGTTATTGTATAAGGAAAGTGTTTGTTTGTCCTGCCAGCACTGGTTGAGGAAGGTGCTCCAGGTATTCACTATAGTCACGTTGTATTCTGGCACGTGGTATACTAGGCTGGTGCGGGGAGCGAGGCGGGCAGGGACTGGAATGCTATGCACTGGGGAGGCTTGGTGTATCTGCCATTGAAAGGTAGGGGGAGAGGGAGAGGAGAGAACATGAGGTATGGGGGATGCATGGAGCAACTGGCATTTGAGTGGAAGTGAGAGAAAAGGGGAAGAGGAGAGGGAGAGATGGTGGGAGGAGATTGGGGGGCCTGAGTCAAACCGTCTGATGAACAGGGGAAGTACTGATGCAGCTCGCATCAAAGTGCGGAGAGAGAGAGGTGGCGCGGGGAGGCAAGGGAAGGTACTTGGCAAAGTGTTTTGAGACGTCTCAAAACACTACTTCAAACACGTGGCGCGGGGAGGCAAGCGAAAGTACCTGGCATAGTAGGGACGGAATGAAGTTGAAGTAGGAGAGGGAATCACCTGCTGATGCAAACACCCTGAGAGAAAATGAAACAGGGGCGGGGCGTTGAAAAGTACCTGGCACTTAGAAGAAAAGTACCTGGCAAAGTAGGGACGGAATGAAGTTGAAGTAGGAGAGGGAGTCACCTGCTGATGCAAACACCCTGAGAGGCAATGAGGAAGGGAGATGCGGCGGAAGAGATGAGGATAGGGTTGATAAGGGGGAAACGGAAAAAAAAAAGGAGAAAAAAATGGGAAAAATTTGACAAGGCAAACGGAAGCACGGATTAGAGCAAGACGCACCCTTGTGGATTTTGAGTTCGAAATGCAAGGGCAGGGGGTCCTCCCTTTTGACTTTTGAGTCGACTCAAAAGTCACTTCGAGTTTAACATGCAAAGGCAGGGGCTCCTCCCTTTTCCCCCTTCACAACCTAAGTTGCTTCAATCTCGTATGGGTGTTCTACGTTTCCCCCTCAGCCCCTGTCCCTCCTGAACCCCCATTCATGCGCTCACTTGTTTTCTCATGAGCAGCAGAAACGGTTTCGGGCAGAAGAAGGGGGGCGTGCCTTGTGGGGCACCTTGTCAGCTTTTGAGGCGCCTCAAAAGGCATTCACCCGTTCTGGTTCTCTCCTCTCTCTCTCCTCCGCCGCACCCATGCACCTACTTGTTTCTCATAAGCCTCAAGAAGAGTCTGGGGCGGAGGAAGAGAGATGTACGACACCCTGTAGGCTGCCAACGGTACCTCTGCGGAGATGGGGAGGGTGGTGGTTGGGAGAAGAGAGGCGTGAGAGAGAAGAGGGCCATGAGGCACCCTGTAGGCTGCCAGCGGTACCTCTGCAGCAGGGAGAGGACGAGGGAAGGGAGGACCAAGGAGGGGAGAGCGAGAGGGAGGAGAGACACGGATTCAGGAGGAGGAAGAAGAGAGGCGTGAGAGAGAAGAGGGGCATGAGGCACCCTGTAGGCTGTCAACGGTACCTGTGCAGCAGGGAGAGGACGAGGGAGGGGGAGAGGGAGGGAGACACACGGAGATGGAAGGAGGCGAAACGAATGCAGGGCAGGAGACAGAAGGAATGGGGAGCAGGAGAGAGAAGAGGGGCATGAGACACTCTGTTTGCTGCCATTGGTGCCTCTGCAGTGATGGGAGGGCGAGAGGGTGAGAGAAGGAGAGAGGGGGGAAATCACACGGAATTGAAAAGGAGGCAACACACGCAAATGCAGGAACAAAGAGCGAAATGCATGAGGCTGAATCTCTACAGTGGTGTCACACTCTCTTAGCGAATTTCCTACAAGCGAGGCCCCTTGCCAGCAAGCCAGCCAGTTGCAAGGGAGCTTGGGCTCGTTATAGAAGCAGCTGCTGTACTCGCTATAAAAGCACTTACTGGTTCGACCAATGCGACGTCACACGCATCCTCCCATCAAGCGTTTCTACACCAGTCAGGTTGACAGTTTTTATCGCGAGTTTCTAGTAACGCGGATGTCCTTAACCTACCAGCCACGGGAATGGTCGCTTGTGCTTGTTGACTAAGCAGCTCACAGGTCCAGTGCCCTGCAGGGGAGGAAGGGGAAGGAAGAAGGGGGGAAAGGGAGGGGAAAGTGGGGAAAGGGGACTAGGCAGCACCAATGCCCTGCAGGAAAAAAGGGGAAGTGGCGCGGGGAATGGGTGCGAGAAATGGGCAGGGGGACGGGCGCAGGAAATGGGCGGGGGGAACGGGCGCAGGGATGAGCGAGGGGAATGAGCGCGGGGAACGATCGCGGGGTATGGGGGCGGGGAATAGTTGCTGAAAAGGGGCGCGGAAACGGCCGTGGGAATGGGCGGGGATTGGGCGCGGGGAATGAGCGCGGGGGTATGGGCGAGGAGTATGGGCAAGAAGAATGCGTTATGGGAATGGGCGCGGGGAATGCGCGTGGGGAATGGGCGCGGGGAATGGGCGCGAGGAATTGGTGCGGGGCATGGGTGACGGGGTATGGGCGAGGGGAAGAGGCGCGGGGAATGGGCGAGGAGATTTCGCTTGCGACATGTGTTGCCAGGAGGAGAAGAACTTCCGATTCAGTAGGAGATTGAAAGGCCTGAAAGAAAAGTAGCTTCCGTTCCGATGGGATTGTGGAATCTTCTAGCAGCGCGAAACGCGGCGCACCTTGAGGAAGGGGCAGTCGGCGTTATACGCGCCGTGCTGCATGGCGGGAATCTCTAGAGGGGAACTTCCGCTGCGGGGGAACTCGCCGCGGGGGAACTCGCTGCGGGGGAACTTCCGATGCGGGGGAACCTGGGGGACGGAATGCGCACCTTGAGAAAAGGGCAGTCGGCGTTATACGCGCCGTGCTGCATGGCGGGAGTCTCTAGAGGGGAACTTCCGCTGCGGGGGAACTCGCTGCGGGGGAACTCGCTGCGGGGGAACTTCCGATGCGGGGGAACCTGGGGGACGGAATGCGCACCTTGAGGAAGGGGCAGTCAACACGATACGCGCCGTGCTGCATGGCGGGAGTCACGGGAAGCCATCGACCGACGGAGTAGTTGCACCTCGATATAATCTCCTTATTCCGACTCACTCTCGCCGTTGAAATCACCTTCTTCTCAGTCACTCTCGCTGTAATCACCTTCTTCCGACTCACTCTCGCCGCTGTATTCACCTTCTTCTCAGTCACTCTCGCTGTAATCACAATCTCGGCGGTGCCCGCTTTACTCAATAAGGGAAGGGAAGCTGCTAAAAGTGCCAGAATAAGGAGGGTGGCGGCGGTAAGGAAAGTGGAAGCATGATTGTGACCTGTTAGCGAACTACCTCGCAATGGGGAACGATCTATACAACGATGCGTTAGGGGACAATTTGTTAAGAGAGGATACGTTAGAGGACGATGCGATATTAGGGAATGATGCTTCCGGGAACGAAGTAGTTTGACGTGCGACTCTGGATGGACGGCTGGGCGACGAGCAGTCGCCATGCGAGAAAGTATCGGGTTACTCGGTGACAAAATTCCGGAAAGATCGCAGGCTCATAGTAGTCCGGTCGACCGCCATTGTTCAGTCAAATACGTGAACAGTTTAGTACTACTTGCGAGCTGAGACAGTCTGTTAGGCGACTCGTCGAGCGTGCAGTTACCACGCGACGAGACAGTGAGTTACTGCTGACGGGAGATTATTATGTGCAGGTTGACTATCAAGATACTATGAGCTGTTCGACCTGATTAGATGGCGCGAGAATTTACCGCTGCTGCTGAGTCAGTCTTTGATTGACCGAGGTTATGGCGACAAGCGATTGGACGACGAGACGAGACTATCAGGTCCTGGCTTTGCCTTGCCCGCAAACTACGGTGACGACAGGAAAAATCGTCGCATAGAATTGCGAGTTGAAAACGATGTGGGGAAAAACGACGCACTTCCAGATTTTCTCGGGTGAGCAAGGGGCGCTTCGGGCGCACGACGGTGCGAGGTTGACCAGCGGTGAAGCAAACGGTGCGACGCGCTAAATGCACATTTTGCTTGCTACTTATGCGAGAAGTGTATTTTGATCAATTTGCCATGTTGCTTGTAAATCACATACCGGTAACAGCGAAAACATTGCTTAATCTCCATGAAGTACAGACTAGGCTGTCAACGTGGGCTCATTGGCCAAAAAGTGATTGACCATAGCAACCCACCAATCAAGAACGCCTGGAAGGCACCAGTGTAGGCAATCCTTATTTACCCCCCCTGATCCGACAAATGCATCGGGCCTATAAAGGGACGATGGTGTGACATCTATCATTTGTATCCTCGTGCCTGTGAATACCTTTTGTTGCAGCGGCAACCAAGCAACAAACTGACGATTGTTCTTGCGAATTGTTGCAACCTGCATGTGCACGTTGAAAAAGACAGCAGTGTGAAGGAAGATAGAGGTTGAAACAACAATCATATGAATGCATCCCATACAATTAATATGCATACCACATATGATAACGTTACACCCAAACGGCACATCAATGTAGCATCATGAAATACCTGTGCATCTGTGTATGGTGCCTTCAGTGCCATGCATCCATCCAATCTCGCTGGGGCAGAAATAAAATAAGTGACCGGCGCCTCTGGTTGGTCAAGGAAGTTCTTGATTGCTTCCATGCCATACCTGCAGATAATAATGTGACAGAAACAACACAGCATCTCTTTTCGTTTAATACATTTTGTGAAACAAAAAAAAGGGCATTCAAGGGACAGGAGTCCATCCAAGTAATTTCCTTGCAATAAGCACCACTTACTCAAACGCAGCCATGAATCTTGACTCGTTGTAGATTTGATCCCCAGTGCTGTTCACCCAGAATCGCCGCCACTTATACTTAGTGGCCTGCCAGTGCGCCTGTGTCTGCAATATAAGCACGTCGTACCGCTCGATATAAGCCGCCCACTGCGCATCGAGCCCGTCTAGGTTCACCACTGAATCCTCGTCGGTCAATGGAACACCTCCGTTGTACTGTTGGACTGTCTGGGAAGGAGAGAGAGGGAAGGGGAGCATAGGGATATTAGGGGGCATAGAGATGTTGTAGGGTAAGTTGAGAACTTTCACGATCGCCCACTGCGCATCGAGCCCGTCAAGGTTTACCACAGAATCCTCGTCAGTCAAAGGAACACCTCCGTTGTACTGCTGAACGGTCTGGGAAGGAGCAAGAGCGAAAAGGGAGCATAGGGGTAGGGGTATTGTAGGTTGATTCCAAATATCTTCACGATCGCCCACTGTGCATCGAGCCCGTCTAGGTTCACCACAGAATCCTCGTCCGTTAAGGCAACGCCTCCACAGGGAGAGAACAAAAGGGGGGCATAGGGTGTGCGGTAGAATTCAGCTTGAGACTTCCCACAATCGCCCACTGTGCATCGAGCCCGTCTAGGTTCACCACAGAATCCTCGTCCGTTAAGGCAACGCCTCCACAGGGAGAGAACAAAAGGGGGGCATAGGGTGTGCGGTAGAATTCAGCTTGAGACTTCCCACAATCGCCCACTGTGCATCGAGCCCGTCTAGGTTCACCACTGAATCCTCGTCCGAAGGAAACGCCTCCATTGTACTGTTGGGCCGTCTGGGAAGGAAGAAGTGAGGGAAGGGAGAGCACAGGAATATGGTGGTCCAGATCAGATAATACTATGGTAAGGAAGGACAGTGGTGAGCTGACTTAATTCCTAAGGCGCCTCAAAAGTCGGGAGCACAGCACAGGGGTATGGAGGTCCACATCAGGTTGTACTATGGTAGGAGTGGTGAGTGAGCTGACTTGTGTTAAAAGAGTAATTTGGCTTGTGGATGGGATTAAAAACAATGCTCACCTGTTCGTCTTGCCAGTACTCGTTAAGAATTGTACTCCATGTGTTTATCAACGTAATGTTGTACGCTTTGACTCGGTACACTTTAGTGAGCGGGCCTTGCGCTGCGTATGTGCCGTCGTTAGGAATCTCGGTCACAGGAGAGACTTGGTGTATCTGCATAAAGCATAGGAAAGCGAAGGAAAAAAAAAAGAAAAAAAGAAGAAAAACAAAATAATATACAAATGAAAAAACACGTAGTAGCAGAAAAGAAGGACCGTTAATGAGACAACGGGCTATAAGTAATGGTCAGAATAACAAAGGGGAAGGGGGCGGGGGGGGGGAGGGGAGGGGAGGGCGGGGTAAGGGCAAATTTGTGTCGCATGTTCAGCAACAAACAAAAACGCATTCTCCCATATTTATTGTAAGTAAAAGTAGTGACCAAACCAAAGGGCAACAAACAGCAATGGCTGCTCACCTGACACAAAAGCGACGGCATGGGATTGCTGACAGAGAGTGAGTCGCCCACTGAAGCAAACACCCTGCCAGATAGAACAAGAATTAGACGGGAGGGATGCAGAATCTAAGCAAGCACTATGCCAGATGGAAAGCTGTGAGAACGACAGTTTGTACATTCAAATGTCAAACAGACTGAACTGCTGCCAGTCAAACCCCCTACCCCTAAATTGCCCACAACCGTGACCTCTTTTTTTTTCCCCCTTTTTTATCCTTCCACCCACCTCTCTATTCAGACTACTCATCCGTGCTCACCTGTTGCTCATTCGTTGCAGGAAGGCCAGAGGGGTGAAGGAGAACCATGGCTGCCCGCAGTTCTTGGGTCTGTAGCGATAATTCTGGGGGCGGGGGGTAGTGGAAGGATTATATTGGAGCAAAGGCACCCCTGTCCATCTATCAGCCCACTGTAGCGTCCTAGAGTCATGTTCCCGCCTGGGCTGGTTATTCTGACGACTCGAAACTCGCTTACCGGAACAAGAAAAGCAGCAGAAGCAAGCTTGGTCATTGCAAAATGGGACAAACCAGTACCCTTCCCCACCGTACCCAACCCATTTCTCACCAGCCAGTTCTTGGGGCGATTTCGAGGCTTGATGATGCAATTTACTGGACCCACGTTCTGTTGAGAGAGATACCATACAGTCGTGTGAAGGGTAGGACACGGGACAGGGAGAAGAGAGGGGAAGGGGCGGGGGGAATTAGGAGGGGGAGATGGTGTGTAGTTGGTTGGGGGGAAGGAGGAAGGGCGGCTGAGGGGGAGGCGGGGGGTAAAGAAGGGGGGAAAGAAGGGGGGAGAGGGGGAGGGGGGGGGGAGGGGAGGGGAGACGGGATTGGGGGGAGATGGAAGAGGAGAGAGGCTGTGGGTGAGCGAAAGGAGAGGGTAAAGCAACAATGGCAAGCCTGCCGCATGGGCGCAAAAAGATGCTGCATGTGGGCGCGAATCCCGTCGCATCGGCGCATCGGCGCTAGCAATTACCTTGAGGAAAGGGCCGCAGTCTAGTTTTGAGACGTCTCAAAACAAAAATCTCCTCATGTGGGCGCGAATCCCGTCGCATCGGCGCTAGCAAATACCTTGAGGAAAGGGCAGTCGGCGCCGTAGGGAGCCTTGTTTCGCGAAAGCCACTGCCCAGCGCGGGAGAAATTGCACACTGTCGCCTGCGTCGGTTGGAAGCTGGTTACCGCATTCGCCGCCGCCGTCGCTAGCCGTCTCCCGCCGTTCCCTGCACGTGTCGTGCTACCACTGGCCCATACGGCGTCCGTGTCAGCGCAGCTCGCGGCGCAAATTAAGGACGCGATTAACGCGCTCGTAAATAGTTTCCTTACATCGAAGCGTCGAATAACGGTTATTTGCAGGCTCGATCGCGCGAAGGAACGGCCCGCCGCCATGCTGCTACGCAGGTTAGATGTATCGTCTAGTGTCGTGAAACGTTATACGCCTGTATCGAATCTGTTCATGAGTCGACCAGAATGTGTGCGAAGGTATAGGGTAGAAAAAATATCCCGTCGAACGACTTGCGGATTCGTGACAATGCAAGAAGATGCAAGAACTAACTACGACACTTTCCAGGGGTAAAGCTCATCTGCACCTGCGCTTTCCTAGGCGCGTCATAAATCGTGTGGCTAGATAGACCTAAGCGTCCGTGTGGGGGGGGGAGTGAAGTGGAGTGGGGTGGACTGGTAGGTGGAGGATAACACCTGGTTTTGAACAGTGCGCTGCGCTACCCACTACATGGGAGAGGCAGCACCGACAAGCTTCACCTCGTCGCGTCAGCGTGTACGCAGCATAGCGATTTGTGGACCAAGTTAGGTGGCATGCAGTCGAGTCGCAGTTACACATGGTGGAAGGAAAATGACCCCTAAATTCTACCTAGCAAGCAGTAAAACCAGTAGGCGAAAAAATGCGAAACATTGGATGTCTGTATCTGTGTTGCTGTGCAACATGGCTCTTCTCGTGGATTTTCGTTTCAATTTCGGCTGGGCTGTACAGTATCATTGTTTCGCCTTCGCCTAGTCGCTGGACCGGGGAGCGGACCATCTAAGCCGTTGGTTGCTGGAACACGGACGAACTCGATTGTTGACCCGTCACGCAACCAGGCCGCATCCGACTCTTGAAATCGGTGGACCCGAGGTCGGTGAGGAACAGTCAAGCCGACATTCATGCGACACCTCGTTTGAGTCACCTGTAAAGTGTGCTTAACGTGATCTTTATTGATGAAGTCTACATCACATACAACGAAACTAGCACATACAGATCATGAAGGCAAGTTATGGAAGCTATCTAGAACCTAGGGTACCCAAAGAACCCGCTCTTGGTGCAGAAACCAGGTCTGAAATTGGTGATCGCCGCATAGAAGTAGAATCCTATGGTCACCGCCCAGATGGCAGGGATGACGTTGAAGAGCAAGATGCGATAATCGCGTTTCGGCAGCAGCTGCTCAGGCCTCAGATATGGCACACCATACTCATCATAATTGAGGTACTTCCTCCGATCCTCCACTTTAGGATGAGTTGGGGACATGATGACGTGGATTATCGGCACGAGCATGCTTTGCACTGAGAAGAGGATGAAGGGAGCCCATGAGGTGACCTTGAGAAGCTGCAAGAGACACAAATGGACAGAAAAATATGAAGGGTTGTGAGAAAGGGATGGAACAGAACGAAAAAGGAAATGGAACCAGGTCAAGAGGATAAGGTCGTGAGGTGGAAAGAGGACAGCAGGGATAAGAAGGCAAGTGAAATCAGTGAATAGCCAAAAGAGGGGACATTAACATAAATGGTACACAACCCAAGCCAAACAAGGTCAGTAAAACGAGCAAGGAGACGAGGAGGACTCCACAAGATAAATGGCTTTTGAAGCAGATAAACCTTGCTTGTACATACCATCCCGCAGTCATGAAAGTCCACCGTCGCAAATCGCCACGCCACGGCACCAACCCCCGCCACACAGAACCCCACATGGAACCACACAGTCATCAGCCTCTCCCACACCGCCGGCGCCTTTTTCTTCGTGCTGCCCGTGGCCTCAAATTTCTTCGAAATGAACGGGAAAAAAAACCGGAGGATCGCCATGCAGTTGAAAAAAGACATCCAGTACCAAACCTGCTCTCCCCTCAGCTGAACCATCATGCCGTTGGGAAGGCGGGAGAAGAGGCCGAGGCAGAGGAGGCGCGAGGTGAACACGTAGGGGACGAGGAGGATGATGTAGAGGCGGGTGGTTTCGAAGATGGGGCCGGGCGGCATGATGCGGAGATCAAGGGCCAGGATGAGGACAGGTAGGACGAGGATCATGATGACGATCACGTTGAGGTAGTACTGTACGCCTGGTAGGAGAAAGGAGTGGGATTTGGGGGAAGTTGTGTGTTTGCATCACAGAAGTTGGTTAGAAAGGCAGATGAGGATCATGAGAAGCATCACATTCAGGTACCAACCAACAGGAGATGCGGTGACACAGGCTGAACTTGCGCGCACGCAGCAGAAGAAGGTTATGGTGTAACAGGATCTGCAGGCTGCCTGTGGCCGCTCAGTGACTCACCGGCATATTAGTAAGCAGGGGGAGGAAGGGGCTTCCGGCACTCACCAGCATACCAGTAGGAGATCCGGCGGTACAAACTGAACTTGGGTGCGCGGAGAAGAAGCGGGTTACGGTGTAACAGAATCTGCAGGCTGCCTGTGGCCCACCGCTGGTGCTGCTTTATGTAACCCTCGAGGCTCCACGGGGCCAGACCCGCTTGCAAGCGCTGTTGTGAGGGTAAAGCCATGCAGAGAAGTGAAGGGAAGGGAGAGAGTGGGAATGACGGGGGGTGTGCAGGCTCCCAGTGGCCCACCGCTAGTGCTGCTTGATGTACCCCTCCAAGCTCCACAGCGCCAGACCTGCTTGTAGGCGCTGTTACCGTCTCACACACGAGGAAATGAGATGGTAGGGGGAAGGAGAATTGTCATAAGAAGAGGCAGGAGGGAAGCGGGTCTACCCGCTTTTTTTTTAGGCGCCTCAAAAGTCACACATGAGGAAATGAGATGGTATGGGGAAGGAGTATTGTCATAAGAAGAGGCAGGAGGGAAGCGGGAAGCAGAGAAGTGGCAGTGTCGAAAACATCTGTGATCGGCCCGACCGTTAAAGCAAGGGTGCACATTCCTAGGGGTGGGTTTCGGGTGTATTTGTTTGGTACACCCCTTGGGGTGCTCTGAATGGTTGGCGAAGAGTCCAACCATATGAAACACTAGAGAGAGGGTTGGAGAATGTGCTGGCGAACACAAAAATAATTCGCCCGCGAGTTGGGTTGGGGGAATAGACGACGGAGGGTGAGGCAAGTGATAAACCTTTGCCTCCACCCCCCCCAAAGTGCACCCTTGCTTTAAGCCCCCCTGTTTCAGCACGTTTCGTCCCTTGCTTTCAAGCATCTAGAACCTTATTCCTCCCCCTCACCTGGTTGAAATAGGCAGTCTTGTAGCCCTTGGCATGCAGCGTCATTGCCGTGTCAAAATCCTCTGTGATCGACCCCACCGTGAAACACAAGCACTGCGTTCCAGTCACATGGGGCATGCCTCTCAACCATCTCTCAATCACCGCACCTGGTTGACATAGGCCGTCTTGTACCCCTTGGCATGCAGCGTCATTGCGGTGTCAAAGTCCTCTGTGATCGACCCCACTGCGAACCCACTGTGGATACCCTACCCTATTCCAGCATGCCCAGTCCCTTGCATTCCAGTATGTGGGCACATCACCCCCCAACCTCACCTGGTTGACATAGGCCGTCTTGTACCCTTTGGCATGCAGAGTCATAGCGGTATCGAAGTCTTCTGTTATCGACCCCACTGTGAACCCGCCGATTGCTTGGAGGTGGGCGGCACGGAAAATGACTCCCGTGCCCACGCACTGTGCACTGTCACGGCCATCTCTGGGGAAGAAAAAGGGGAAGAGGGAAAGATTGGGAAGAAGGGACGAGTAGTGAGACGTGTGTGTCACAACCCAATCGCTTGCAGGTGGGCAGCGCGGAAAATGACTCCTGTGCCCACGCACTGGGCACTGTCACGGCCATCTCTGGGGAAGTAAAGGGGGGTTTAGGAGAACAATCGAGTAATGAGAAGTCGCACTGCCCTACTGCTTGCAGGTGGGCGGCGCGGAAGATGACTCCTATGCCCACGCACTGGGCACTGTCACGGCCATCTCTGGGGAAGTAACAAGAGAAAGGGGGGTTTAGGAGAACAATCGAGTAATGAGAAGTCGCACTGCCCTACTGCTTGCAGGTGGGCGGCGCGGAAGATAACTCCTGTGCCCACGCACTGTGAACTGTCCCGACCATCTCTGGGGAAGGGGGAGAGGGAATGGAAACCAGGGAAGATGGAGTTTTGAGACCTTATCCATCTTCACAAAACCTTATCGTTTGCAGGTGGGAGGAAAGTAATGTAATGGCTGCGAACAAAGGAATGGCAGAAACGGGGAATGTAATGATTGCGAGCATTAAACAAACACCATCATCACCGTTTCGAGTAGACTCAAAAGCCACACCTGTAGGGCAGCAGAACATCGTAAAAGTCCTGCGAGGAGTCATTCAGCGGATCCCCCTTCACAATGTTGTAAAACGACTGCGGGCACTGCACAAACGCCACATCGCCCTTCTCCTCCCCGACAATGTGCGGCAGCAGCGCCGACAGGAAGAAGGGCGAGGGAATCATATCCGCATCCAAGACTGCAACAAACTCCCCGCAGGCGAAGTGCAACCCGTAGTTGATGTTCCCTGCTTTGAAGTGGTGAGGCACGCCTTTCTTCTTGGGGCGACGGAGGTAGAACAGCCGCCGGCCCTGCTGCTGCTGCTGCACCATCAGCTGCTGCTGCCGCTGCAGCTGCCCCTGCTCGCTTTGATCCTGTTCCCCTCCTCCTACTTCCCCTCCTGCTGCTCCTGCTCCGCCCCCCCCACCTCCTCCGCTCCACCCTTCCATCGCTTCTGCTTCTACCCAGGCTTTAAGCTCATCATCCCCCCCATCGTCCAGCACCCACACCGAGTACCTCTCGCCGGGGTAATTCTGATTCATAGCCCCTTTAACCGTGTCCTGGATCACATCTATCTTCTCGCTGCAGCAGCAGATGAGGATCGCAACCCTCGGAAACGGCCCCGAGGGCGGGAGACTCAGCGCCTTCCTCTCTTTAGCCGGCTTAGACAACTCAACGACGAGCATGAAGGAGGAAAGGAAGACGAGGATTTCAGTGGAGAGGAACAGCAGGCAGGCGGGGCCGGCCTGGGTGATGTTCCGCCCCACCATGGAGCATTTCCAGGAGAGGTATCCGAGGCCTGAGACCACGGTGACAAGCGAGATGAAACGCATGAGAAGGAAATGGGTTCGGGAGGACATGCGGAAGTTGCATATCCCGCCGTCTATCCCGGGGCAGAGCCCACCCCCAGGGGCGGAAGAGGCTATAGAAGCAGGGGGTGGGGAGGCAGAGGAGGAGGCGGAGGAGGAGGAGGGAACGGGGGAGGAGTTGGGTTTGCTACCCGTGGTGAGGGTACTGAAGGTAGAGTCGGAAGGGGAGGAGGAAGGGGTGCTGCGGGGTTTAGAGCGGTTCTGGGGGGTTCCATCGGGGGGCCCAGGGAGAATGGGGGAGAGGGGGGTGTACCAGAGGGTGGGGGAGGCGGGGGAGACGTTGGGGGCGAGGGGGGCGGGGAAGGGGGGTGAGGAGGGGAGAGGCGGGGAAGGGAGAGAGGCTGGTGGGGCGGAAGGAGGAGCAGCAGGGGAAATGGCAGTGTTGGGAGCGGTTGCAGCAGCAGGGTGGACGCTGGCAGCAGTAGTAGCAGCAGCAGCGCCAGCGGCAGCAGCAGCACCGCCACCACGAGTGGTGGTATTACCACGAGCAGCTGAATCGGACTTAGAACGATGATTCCTGGAGCTCCCACCACCACGAGTAGTACCATTAGCAGCAGCCGTGGCTGCCGCAGCGGTAGCAGCAGCGGCAGCGGCGGCAGCAGCGGGAGAAAGTCCTGCGCGAACCTCCCACACCGTCCTCTGCTGCTGCTGCTGCTGCAGTTGACAATTTCCCTGAGAAGCAGCCATCCCCAAAGGAGTCACCCCAGAAGAAGCGATTTCCTCGTGGGTTGGCGCAACCCCTTCCTCCTCATAGTCCTCGGGGATCGGGACTTCAGTTATCTCTGCTGCTCGCCTGCTCCGGTGCTGCTCCCTCCTCCCGTGCCTCCTGCTGCCACTCCTGCCATTGCTGCCATTACTGCTGTTCCCACCGGTGCTTCCGTTACCGCCGGTGGTTTCGTTACCGCGGCTGCTCCTGCTGTTACCGCTGTTGCCACCGCGCCAGTCACCCCTGCCATCCCTGCTCCGTTCGATCCAACCAGCCGCATCTCCCGAAGCATCCGAGCCGTTGGCACTGGAGCCACTATCAGAGGCGGCATACTCAGCATCAAACTGCGACCCATACGTTGCCCTATTCGCCGCCTCCTCATCACTCGGACTCATCTTCCCCTTCCCCTTCCCCAGCCCTTCCGCCCCCGTCCCCACTGAGCCCCCTCCGCTCCCCATCCCCGCAGCGCCTCCACCTCCGCCCATCCCTGCAGCGCCTCCCCCCCCGCCCCCCATCGCCACAGCCACCCGTCGCTCCTCCTCGCTCCCGATCATCTCAATCTCCTCGTCGAACTCGGGAATGGAGTCCATACACCCTCGGCAGCCCTCGCGTCTCCCTCGCAGCAGCGGCAACTTTCACGCCTTCCTGGAGCTGCAGGTCGGTGTAGTAGTGGAACGGAGCAGTCCCGAGCAGGCAGGTGATTTCTCAGATGACTTTTCAGGTGAGTTCCAAGGCGACTACTGAGTCGGCTCGCGACTTCTCCTCGCAGCAAGCACGTTACCCTGCAGGCTGGCGTGCTGAAACAGAGCGGTCCAGAGCAGAACACGGCGGTCCAGAGCAGAACACGGCGGTCCAGAGCAGGCCAGGGCGGTCCAGAGGAGAACAGGGCGATCCGGAGGAGAACAGGGCGGTCCGGAGCAGAACAGGGCGGTCCAGAGCAGGCCAGTGGAAAAATGAGAAGCTTCTTACCCTCCACGCTCAAATGTGTCGCCAAGCTGAAATGTTTAGGCCTGACGAGCGCCCCTCAACGATCCGTCAAGTGCGCCGCGCCTCTGCCTCTCCCCGCAAAGACTTCACTTCTCTGCTGATGCCGGTCCCCGGCGATGGCGCTGGCGGCGGCGCTGGTGGAGTGCCGCCGATGGTGATGCTGCGCGGCTGCTGAAGCTGCTGCGGTATGCCACGCAACTTGCAGCTAGACGAACCCGCACGAAATACCGACCAACCGCGGGTATTTGAGAACTTCCCGCGGGTGAGACCGACAAGTTCTTGAGGTGCCTCAAAATCACCTCGCAGGCAGACAGCCAGACGAACCCGTACCGGAATGTGTTTGAACCAGGGGTATTTGAGAAACCTCGGAGGCCGAGGCCGACACGGCGAAGCCTTCGCTGAGGAAGAGCCGCGACACGCGCCGCAGGACACACGGAGGCTCTATCGCAGATCGCTCTACGACATGACGCTCTATGGTAGGACGCAATCGAAGCTTCGCGATGTTGTTGACGGCGCTCGGTTGATCGACTTCTCGTACACGTGGCATGGCTAGCGTGTTCGCTGGGGCGAGCCGAAAGAGCTAATAGCGAGCGCCGGGATTGATGCCGGTCACGTGCTGGGTGGGGCTTGTTTCTGCACTCTGATTGGCCAACGAGTTGACTGGGTTCCATATTGCGTACTCTACGCAAGTCGTCGGCCATACAAGAGTCGACACGTGGATATTTCTTGCCGTAAGTAAACAAACGTACGGTAGAGAAAGTACGGGCCACTGCGGGATGAAAAAGCCTGTTCGAATAGTATGGCTTAGCAAGAGATTCCCTCTCGAGAAGCCAGAGATTGGAGGAGTCGAACGTGCAAGGCGATCGCTGCGAATAGGTCAAGGTTCTTGTGTGCTAGACGAGATACTGTAAGAGAAGCGCGGTGCTGGAAAGAAAGAGCTCAACAAAATCCCACCTCGGAGACAGCTAAGGAGAAGCACATAAGGCAAAGGGGAGTAAGAGTAGAATGAGAACAAAGGACAAGAGTCGCAAAAGAAAGGAGGAAACAGCTCAGAGTCTTGTGTCGGCCGTGAGTTTGTCAGGCGGATTTCGTGCCGCGAAACAATCGAGTTTGGACAATTGAGGGTGTACAATTTGCAAAAGGGACGGTCTCGATTGTTTGTGATGGAGATTTGTCAGACGAGCACTTCTCAAGGGATGAAAGGGCGGGAAAAGCCAGGTGTTGCGAGTTACTGTATCATGCTGGCTGAAACGCCAAACAATATAAATAAATATAATATGAATATTTACTAACGTGTCATATTGGTTGTACTGATACTAGCTAACAAGGCAATATTCATACTTTCTCCTGCAACCTTACTAACCGTTGCTCACATGCCAAAACCTGAGGTACTGAAAGTGATGCCGCCTGCTGAACATCCTGTAAAAGAAAATTTAAAAAAAAAAGAGGGAAATATAGCATTCTGAAATTGTTCACAAACATCATCACTGTCGCTTTAGGGTATGAGCAGTGAAGCATAGGCTTACCGACACCCCAGATTACATCCTGTACTCACAAGCGAGGTATCGACAAGGATGGTCGCCTGTGAAGCATTCAAGGCAGCTGTGGTAGTAGAATGCAGCAGCACCCCCAATGGCACGGTATCGTCCAGTAAGAGTGAAGGGAGAGGCTGCAGGGTGTGTGGGGGGCAGAAGAACACAAAGCAGCAACATATCTTGCTAAGGATGGTGGTTTGTGAAGCATTCAAGGCAGCTGTGGCAGCTGAAGCCAAGAGAGCCGGAAATTCCACAATCCTGTAGGCGTAAGCCCTAAACCAAGCCCTCCAATCCCCTCTCACTACTCCCTCCCTCCGTACCTGAACGCCTTCAAGAGTGGATGGCAGGAGGAAGAGGGAGAAGGAGTGAGGGTCCAGCTTGAGCAGTCGAGCAATGAGGGGCCGCATTTTAGACACCTGTGACCACGCAGTTCAGATGTGCACGTGAAGAGATGGGAGGGAGAAGTTATTGGATCGGCAAAACATTGTAGAGAGAGAATTAAAAGGGAACCCTTACTACAAGCGAACTAGAGGTTGAAAGAAAGAAAGTGATTGCGAACGAGCCCTTACTGTTGTGGACTGAGGAAGCTTCTTGGTGACTTCCTTTGCCGTGCTGCTACTGCCACATTCAGGAGCAATCACCCGGAACGTGATGCCTGGAACGGAAGGGACAAAGGGAGGGGTGATGAGAAGGACAATGCATTGATGAGGAAGTGATTCCAGAGCAAGGGTCGGCAGGAGAGGTTTGATGGGGAACGTGATGCCTGGAATGGAAGGAACAAAAGAGCAAGGGGAGGGTTGATGGAAAGGAGTGCAGTTACTCTTGAGTAAGCTCAGAAAGACAAGGCAGGGGAGGGGTTGATGGAAAAGGCACCAAAAAGGCTTGAATGTCAGGAAGAAGAGAGGGTGGAAGGAGAGCAAGGAGTGGGGGAAAGGGGGGGGGTTGTTACAAGGAGGGGCCTGAGGGCTTACTGAGGAATGAAGAGCTGCTAGGGCGATTGGAGGTGGCAGTAACATCACCAGAATTGCTGCTAGCACCGGCAGCACCGGCAACACTGGCAGTACCAGCAGCAAGGGTAGCAGCTGTGGAAGCCTCGGCATGGACGCCTGGGAGGAGCTTCCTTCGCTCTGATACCAAGTCGAGGCCGTGCTTGGCAAGGAGAGCAGGCAGGGCGGGGTGGCCCGCGGAGACGAGTTGAGGGAGGGCTGTGGCGTGGGGGAGCGAGCGGATGGCATGGCAGATGTACCATATCTCTGCATCCAGGCGCTCCCTTGGTAGGATCTGATGTGTTGATTAAACATGGGTGAAGGGGCATGGGAGCACACACAAGGTTGTTGGGATGGCATGGCAGATGTACCATATCTCTGCATCCAAACGCTCCTTAGGTAGGAGGATCTGATGTGTTGTGTTGTATGGGTACATCCGCACGCAGGCAGGCACACATATTAGCACAGAAAGACACACAAACTTTGTTGGGATCGGGTGGGAGATGTACCATATCTCTGCATCCAAGCGTTCCCTGAGTAGGATCTGTAGGCACGGGTGTGTGTAGATGCATACACACGTGCACAGAAGTATGGGATGGCATGGGAGATGTACCATATCTCTGCATCCATGCGCTCCTTTGGTAGGATCTGATGACATGGGGTCATGCACATGCACGCACAGTTGCATGGATATGTGCGGACGTGCGAGCGGATAGCATGGGAGATGCACCATCTCTCTACATGCAACCTCTTACTGAGTAGGATCTGTTGGCAGGGATGAATGTAGACACAGGTGCATGCTTAGGGTTTAGGGTTTACCAAGTGCTCAGAAAGAAACACATAGACAGTGTCACAAGTGGCGGTTTTGGACGACTTTTGAGACGGCTCAAAGGCACGCTTAAGTGCCCAGAAAGAGCCACATAGACAGTGTCACAGTTGTTGCCAAATGGCGGTTTTGGTAGGGTGAGCAAATGGTGTCGGAGATCGTACCATGCGTCTGCATCCAAGCACTCCCTCGGAAGGATCTGATGACATGGCAATCCGCATGCGCTTCTGAACGGACCTTCTAATTCTGAGATGCCTAAAAAGCTCACCTGAACACAATTGAGCTTCTGAATCGACCCCAGTCTCGCAATCACTCCCATCCTCCCCTCCTCCGTCACCCCAAGCCCAAACTCACACCTCTCCACCCTCCCACCACCCTCCTCCCCATCAGCAGTAGCAGCAGCACCGCCACTGCCAGGTGTCAGGCTCCCATTCGCTGCCTCTCCGGCCTCTGTCCCATTGCCATTTGTTGCGTTGCCATTGGCCGGAGCGGTGGTTGAGGCTGGCCTTTGATTGGCTGAAGGCAATCTGGGCACATAAGGCTTGTGAGAGAGAACGAGATCCTGGAAAGAGAGTACATTGGGATGTGCAAAAAGAGGGGAGCGATGAAGATAAGAGAAGGGCAGAGGGGAAGGTGGAGCATTGGTTGAGGCTGGCCTTTGATTGGCGGAAGGCAACCTGGGCACATAAGGCATGTGGGAGAGAACCAGTTCCTGGCGAGAGAATAGATTGGGATGTTTAAAAAGAGGGGAGAGATGAAGGGAAAGAGACAGGTTGAAGGGAAGGTAGAAGCATGGTTGAAAAAAAAAAAAAAATGTCGGTAAGCTTCAAGATGAGATGGGAGATATCCAAAGTATTGTGAAACGGACATTGTACCTTGAGGTTCGGAACCACGCAATCGCACTTGGAAGTTCGGGAAAAATGCGCCATACCTTGAGGTTGGGGCATGTGATGGCCAGGGCATCTATGGACGACCAGTGAGAGATGTTGTTGTCAGCTGGGTTGGGAATGGGGTGAGGAGGGAGGAGTGCGACGTACGTACACAGGTAGAATTTCAGGCAATGCGCCTAAATCGAATTCATCTTTCGTTGAAGTCTTACAAGTGACCTCGGAAGTGACTTATGAGAACTCGCAAAAGTGCGTACCTAATGAAAGATGGTGCAGGTTGTGAAAGCTAGAGGCGTTTGCAGCTTTGTCATCAGTCCCTGGGATGTTGGTGATCCGATTTCCTGTAAGGAGCAGCCACTTCAAGCTGTCCACGGAGAAAAGAGGAGCGGCATGAGGACACAAGGGAGAATGAGCGAGAGAACAGGGGAGGTTACAGAAACCTCGCAGCAGGAATGAGGTGTATTTTGAGGCGCCTCAAAATACACCTCAATGCACGCGAGAGAACAGGGGAGGTTACAGAAACCTTGCAGCAGGAATGAGCGCAAGAAGAAAAGAATACAGGAGAGTGCATAACAAGGCACGTGCTGGTGCGGAATCCCAGCTATGAGCCGCAGCAGTGGCAAAAAGACGTATAAGCAGCACAAGCAGCAGCAGCAGCACGAGATAGAGGTGGCAGCAGCGGCACTCACGAGCATAAGGCTGAGAGAAAGGTGCTGTGAGGTGTGCACAGGAGTGCTGTGGCTGGTGATGGTGATGGTGCTAGTGCTGGTGTTGGTGTTGGTGCAGGAATGGCAGCAGTGACACTCACGAGGGTAAGGCGGAGAGGAAGGAGACTTGAGCCCAGTCAGCAATGCGATTGCTGGATAGGTCTAGGTAGGTCAGATGCTGTGAGGGGCCGACAGGAGGGGGTGAAGAGGAGGGGTGAGACGGGAAGCCTGAAAGCCAAACAGGAGTGGGTAAAGGGCAAGAACGTGCCACTGTAAGGAGAGGCAGAAGCGGAACTTTGAGACAACGTCACACTCAACGTCAACGCTCAGTGCTTTGAGCAGAACCAGATGCTGGTCCCAGCTGGGACCCGATTTGAGAAGTTTTAGTCGTCTCAAATCGGGTCCCAGCTTCACAGCAACGTTCCAGAAAGCTAAAAGACCTCACATTCTGTAGCCGAGAACGTGGCTAGGCAGTCCAGAGGAGCACGACTGGCATCGGCACCACCCACAGCGCGCAGCCTGTTTTTGAGTCGACTCAAATTCCGCAATCACGTTCGAGAAAGCTGATCGAACGCATTTTCTTTAGTCGAGATCCTTGAATCCTTTCTCACCTGAAGGCAGTCCAGAGGAGCACGACCGACATCGGCACCACCGATGGGTCGCAGCTCCGCAATCTCGTTCCTGATCAGAACCAGGGTCTCGAGGAGGGGAAGCTGCCGCGAAAGTTCCTCCACCTGGACGTGGAGTTGAAGCAAGGAGATTGGGAAGCAAGCGGTGAGGAGCGGTTAGAGGGGTTTGGGAGGGCGATTGGAAAGCAGTTTGAGGAGAAGCTCAAGAAGGAGTTTGGTAAGGGGACTGGGGCTGGAAAACAATAAAACACGATCAAACCTGCTCCACACACCTGTGGCAGGAGGAACGAAGAACCACTTTCAGCCATGCCCCACTCGTTTAGCCACTCCCCATTCATTTCCCAGCCATGCCCCACTCGCCCAGCCATGCCCCACGTACCTGGGCCCATGTGACCCGTGTGTTGCTCAGCCCAAGCTTCTTGAGCCGAGCCAACGGGGAAACGGAGAGCGCAAGAGGAGGAGGAGACGAGACTCCAAAAAACGAAGAAAAGGAGAGTCTGGAATGGCCGATGTCGAGGGCTGTGAGGCCTGGCAGCTCATCTCCTACCCTCTGCACCTCGTGCCAGTTGTTGAGCAGGTGGTATGACAAGTCAAGCTCTGTCAGGGCTGGGAGAGAAGTGGAGGGAAATGCAGAGAAACACAGGGGCTGTGAGGATTGGCATCTCATCTCCTACTCTCTGCACCTCGTGCCAGCTGTTGAGCAGGTGGTATGACAAGTCAAGCTCTGTCAGGGCTGGGAGAGAAGTGGAGGGAAATGCAGAGAAACACAGGGGCTGTGAGGATTGGCATCTCATCTCCTACTCTCTGCACCTCGTGCCAGCTGTTGAGCAGGTGGTATGACAAGTCAAGCTCTGTCAGGGCTGGGAGAGAAGTGGAGGGAAATGCAGAGAAACACAGGGGCTGTGAGGATTGGCATCTCATCTCCTACTCTCTGCACCTCGTGCCAGCTGTTGAGCAGGTGGTATGACAAGTCAAGCTCTGTCAGGGCTGGGAGAGAAGTGGAGGGAAATGCAGAGAAACACAGGGGCTGTGAGGATTGGCATCTCATCTCCTACTCTCTGCACCTCGTGCCAGCTGTTGAGCAGGTGGTATGACATGTCAAGCTCTGTCAGGGCTGGGAGAGAAGTGGAGGGAAATGCAGAGAAACACAGGGGCTGTGAGGATTGGCATCTCATCTCCTACTCTCTGCACCTCGTGCCAGCTGTTGAGCAGGTGGTATGACAAGTCAAGCTCTGTCAGGGCTGGGAGAGAAGTGGAGGGAAATGCAGAGAAACACAGGGGCTGTGAGGATTGGCATCTCATCTCCTACTCTCTGCACCTCGTGCCAGCTGTTGAGCAGGTGGTATGACATGTCAAGCTCTGTCAGGGCTGGGAGAGAAGTGGAGGGAAATGCAGAGAAACACAGGGGCTGTGAGGATTGGCATCTCATCTCCTACTCTCTGCACCTCGTGCCAGCTGTTGAGCAGGTGGTATGACAAGTCAAGCTCTGTCAGGGCTGGGAGAGAAGTGGAGGGAAATGCAGAGAAACACAGGGGCTGTGAGGATTGGCATCTCATCTCCTACTCTCTGCACCTCGTGCCAGCTGTTGAGCAGGTGGTATGACAAGTCAAGCTCTGTCAGGGCTGGGAGAGAAGTGGAGGGAAATGCAGAGAAACACAGGGGCTGTGAGGATTGGCATCTCATCTCCTACTCTCTGCACCTCGTGCCAGCTGTTGAGCAGGTGGTATGACAAGTCAAGCTCTGTCAGGGCTGGGAGAGAAGTGGAGGGAAATGCAGAGAAACACAGGGGCTGTGAGGATTGGCATCTCATCTCCTACTCTCTGCACCTCGTGCCAGCTGTTGAGCAGGTGGTATGACAAGTCAAGCTCTGTCAGGGCTGGGAGAGAAGTGGAGGGAAATGCAGAGAAACACAGGGGCTGTGAGGATTGGCATCTCATCTCCTACTCTCTGCACCTCGTGCCAGCTGTTGAGCAGGTGGTATGACATGTCAAGCTCTGTCAGGGCTGGGAGAGAAGTGGAGGGAAATGCAGAGAAACACAGGGGCTGTGAGGATTGGCATCTCATCTCCTACTCTCTGCACCTCGTGCCAGCTGTTGAGCAGGTGGTATGACAAGTCAAGCTCTGTCAGGGCTGGGAGAGAAGTGGAGGGAAATGCAGAGAAACACAGGGGCTGTGAGGATTGGCATCTCATCTCCTACTCTCTGCACCTCGTGCCAGCTGTTGAGCAGGTGGTATGACATGTCAAGCTCTGTCAGGGCTGGGAGAGAAGTGGAGGGAAATGCAGAGAAACACAGGGGCTGTGAGGATTGGCATCTCATCTCCTACTCTCTGCACCTCGTGCCAGCTGTTGAGCAGGTGGTATGACATGTCAAGCTTTTGAGTCGACTCAAAGGTGGTATGACATTTCAAGCTCTTGAGTCGACTCAAAGGTGGTATGACATGTCAAGCTCTGTCAGGGCTGGGAGAGACCGAGGGGAAAGAAATGCAGAGAGAAATAGAGAGTGCGTGGGGAATCCAAAAACAAGCATCGTACACTACGTGGGCAGAAGGGACAAGCAGCGAGCAGAGCACTCACATGCGATAGCTGCGACCTCCCCCTGCAGCTCCCACCGACCCCACGGGAACTTCAGACACGTTTGCAGCCTGAAGTCGAGACAACCACATCCCGTTTCTCTTGGAAGTATCGCCCTCAACCTATTCCCTGCCTTCTCTTCCGCTCAGTACTGCCTCAATGCAAGCGTCCAACATAGTGGGCAAAAGGGAGGCACTCACATGCAATAGCTGCGACTTCCCCTGTAGCTCCCACTGACCCCACGGGTACTTCAGACACGTTTGCAGCCTGAAGTCGAGATAACCAAAGCAATGATAGACATGATGGGGAGAAGGCAAAAGCAGCAAGCACTCACTTGCGATAGCTGCCACCTCCCCCGCAGCTCCCACCGACCCCACGGGCACTTCCGACACGTTTGCAGCCTGAAGACGAGACAGCCACAGCCCGTTTCTCTTGGAATTCTCAGCCTTGTCTCCTTCCCTGCGTTCTCTTCCCCCCGATATGCCCCCATCCGTTTCCATTGATTCACCCTGAGTCCCCTCTTCCTCAGATCCCCCCACTCCTTCAGACTCTTCTCTATCATTCCCCAGCACAGCTGTATCGGTTCGTTCTCCAGCCCTATCAGCTCCTCTCTTATTCGCTGGAGCAGACACAAATTCGATCACCATGGCCCTTCGCCGACCTAGAGCCCTGTATATGGGCTCCGCTGTAGAGTGGGTCGATATAAGACAGAAAGATGCAGATGTATGTGAGAAAGGGACGCTGACTAAGTCAGTTTGATCTCTACCTTGGATACCTTGAGATACAGGCTTGTAACTTAGCATTAGCAACGAGATTGGATGTGCGAAATGAGATTCGTTGTCCAACAAGCGAAGGGATACGCACCTTTATAGTCCTCCCCGCTTGTGCTATAGCGGTCCAGCAATGCATCACGCAGAGTGACTCCTCCTGTCAGCTTCTGCGGTCGCACAAACGATCCGGCCGGCGTGCCAGCAGGGACCATTTCGCACTGAAAGTAACGTTTCCCGGTTACCACTCCGTCATGCTTTCCTCGCGAAGGATCGTCCCACTCTACGCCGACCCACTCGCCCTTGTGATCGTCCACGGGTCCGACGTATCGCACGGTGCCACGTGGCGCATAGCGGTGGCCCTTTTCCGGATCCTTAAGAGCTACTCGCTGGCCGACGATGAACTTATCTTGAGAAGGAGCTGACGTCATGGTTCGAGACCAGGAGATTCAGCGTGGAATAACGGTTTTAAAAGCTAGTCCGATTCTAGTGCTTCGGGACTAGAATGGGAATGTCGGCCTAGGTTTCAAGGCCTTCAACTGGAAGTCGATGTTACAAACCGATTCTAATGCTTCTAGAAACACGTGACGCCGAGGCATCAAAACGTGCCTGTGGATAAGTTTAGAGGTCCACGAGGGCTTGCAAAGAGGGGCTCGTTACGTCGACTGGCTTATCCTACTCCTAATACGGGTGAACTGCTGTCAATGACTCTCGGTTCTGTCTGTTAGGCAATGGGTGGGGTAACTTCTATGGTGGTTTTTCTGTTATCACTGAATGCTTTTGCCGATTCCGCCTTGATATTCTCTTCTCTCGATGAATCTGGATTCCACCAGTTCAGGGTGACTCCACTTCACCTCGAAGTTTGCCGTTGATTGCTCTCATGGAAATATGAGGTAAATCCAACGGACATGTTTCCCGTGCTCTGAATCGTGCGGACGATAATTACCGCTCGATTGAAGAACAATGGAGACAGTTCCACCTTGAGATTCTCGCCAGTCTGACAGTTTTCGCGCCAAGGAGTTCCCGTGCTCCTGAACGCAACTGCGCGAAACTAGGTTTCGCGAATTTGACCTCTGACTATTTCGCGAGGCTATTTTCGTGGTAACCCCAGGTTCGGTAACCATATGCGCATCACAAATCCAAATTCGCATAGCTGACAAACTGTTTTCGCAGCCGTAACTCGCCCATTTCTTCGCCCAAAGCCACTCGTGCAGCCTGTGCACCAAGACCCCAGAGAGCATGATGTTGGGGGGAAAGGGCTTCTGGCTGGCAACAAAACAAGCATCACATCACATCACACCATCTGGCAACCCCTGAAACCAGATTCTGCTTGGTGAGAATCCTATACAACCTCTAGGTTCGTCCAAAGAGAAAGACAATACAGCAGCAATGCTGATTTGGTGACGAGACATGGACTTCTTTCGGCTGCTGAGTTCCTAGATTCGTTTGCACAATGACCGCCTTGCTAGGATCGCTTTAGAATCCAACGACTTAGTGCTTTAGCCTTTAGGATTCAGCACCGTAGGCACAGAGCAGGCTAAGGTACATAGTGCAAACGACGCTCTTACGAGAAACTTCGGGGAGCATGTTCAGACGGAGAATATAGGACGCCTGCTTGATTCGAGTATGCAGCAGCGGTGAATTTCTGTGTGATTCCTGAATCCTGCTTCATCCATTCCTCAGTTCTAGTTCTGGCAGCATCGTCGAACCTTGCTCATGCTCAGTACGCTTCCCCAGCGCACACGCCTAGTAAGTTCGGTTTAGATGGCTACCATACTAACCTAGACTTAAGGTGCATAGAAACCATATAAGTGTTGTTCGTAACTGAGCAGAGCGTTGTCTCAAATCTTACAGACAAACCTGTTCGGGTTTTTAAGTCGCAAGGACAGCAGACAGACACCATGGATCCATCTCGTAACTCCGTTCCTTCTTCCGTCTCCGACATTTTAAACCGTGTGACTCCCATTCGAACCGCACCAGCTCCTGCAAATCCGGGAGTTCCGGAGATTTCCGCGTCGTTCCCGGCAAACCAACCCGGAAATCAAGCTCTACCGCATTCGCGGGTCGTTCAGGCCCCGCAAGCAACCCTGATGAACGTACCCTCTCAGAGGATCAGCCCTTCTACAGCAGCACCTCCGAATCTGCAGACCCAAAGGATCAGCCAGCCGACTATGATGCATCAGAACCTACCGTATCTGTCGTTCGCGCCGGCCACGCATGGTCCTATGATGGCAGGATCGGTAAGGCAGAACGTGCCATCTCGAAGCCCCGTGCCTCAGGCGCAGATTCCGCAAGTTCAAGGCGCAGAAGGAGCACAGCTATTGCACGGAGCACCGCAAGTGCAGGGAGCACGTTTGCAGCAGGGAGCGACAGTGCAGGCAAGCCGACAGCATCAGGGACAGCAACAGACCGGCCAGCCGTCAGTCGTCGCACAAGCTAACCAGCAGGTCAACAATCTGCAATATCAGCAGCCGCAGCAGCAGCAGCAGAACCTGCAGCAACATCAGCAAAACCGGCTGTTGCAGCCGCAGGGTCGGCAGCCACAATCGCAATCGCAGCAGCAACAGCAGCGGCAACAGCAGCCACAGCAGCAGCAGCAGCAGCAGCAGCAGCAGCAGCGAAACATGCTGTTGCAGCGGCCAGGTTTGGCAGGGCCAGTCAAGTTCACCCTGCAGCAACCGCAGCAGGGCCATTCGCAAGCACAGACCCAGCAGCAGGCGCAGGTGCAACAGCAGCAGGCGCAGGCGCAACAGAAGCAGCAACAGCAACGGAACAGGCTGTTACAACAGCAAAATCCAGTGCAGAGTCTCAAGCTGCCAGCTTTATTCCCGCAGCAACAGCAGCAGCAGCAACTGCCAGGTCAACAGATATTGCAGCCGCAGCAGCAACAGCAACAGAATAGGCTGTTGCAGCAGCAGCAGCAGCAGCAGAGTTTGCAGCAGCATGGCGTTCAAGTGCCGGCTTCGTCCCCGCAGCAGCAGGGGCGGCGACAGCAGACGAGTCCACTGGTAATGATGCAGCCTCAGCAGCAGGCGCAGTTAGAGCAGTTGCAGCCACGGCAACAGCAGTACCAGCAGCCACAGCAGCAGCATCAACAGCATCAGCATCTGCAGCAGCATCTTACGATACCTCAGACGTTGGCTGGCCTGCATGGTATGCATGTGCCGCAACAACAACAGCAGCAGCAGCAGCAGTCGCAGCAGCCACGCCAGCCGCCGCAGCAGCGACAGCAACAGCCGCAACAGCAGCAGCAGGGGCAGCAGCAGCAGAAACAGAAGCAGCACCAACAACACCAGGGGCAGCAGCAAGGGCCGCCAAAGAAACAGAAGCAGCAGCAGCAGCCGCAGAAGCAGCAGGTACAGCAGCAAGATCATCCCTGGTTTCGGCTTTCACCAGAGCTTCAGCAAACCTTGCTAGGTCACCATACGCAGTGGCAGCAAGGCGTAGCGCCCCTTTTCCCACCACAAGCGGCGCAACAGCAACAGCCGCAGCAACCACAGCTTCCGCAACCTCCTGCTCAGCAGCAGCAGCAGCAGCAGTGGTGGGAGCAGCTGAAGAAACCGCACCCACCACAACCACAGTCACCGCAGCTGCAGCTGCAGCAGCAACAAGGGCGTGTTCTGGAACAAGGGGCAACTTCGACTCAGGCGCAACGTATTCGCCAGGAGCAGCAGAAGTATCAAAGGCAGCAGCAACAGATGCAGGAGTTCAAGCAACAGCAGGAACAGCTGCAGCAGTTGAGGCAGCAGCTGCAGCTGCAGCCGCAACAGCAGCAGTTGACTGTTCATAGCAATCAGATGCAACAACAGCATCAGGTGCCTTTACAGCAGCAGCAGCAGCAGCTCGTGCAGCAGCAGAACACTATGCTGCGCCAACAGCAGCAGCAACATGTGCTTCTGCAGCAACAGCAGCCGCACCCTTTGTTACTGCAGCAGCAGCAGCAGCAGCAGCTGCTGCAGCAACAGCAGCAGCATCAACCACAACAGCAGCAGCAGCAGCAGCAGCTCCAGCAGCAGCAGCCACAGCAGCAGCAGCAGCAGCAGCAGCAGCAGCAGCAGCAGCCGCAACAGCAACAGCAGCAGCAGCAGCAGCAGCTACTGCTGCAGAAGCCGCAACAGCAACAGCAGCAGCCTCAAAAACACTCTCTCTCAGAGCACTCCCTGCCCAACCTATGGCGGAGCAAGAGGAGAAAAACAGCTCGCAAGGAGGAGGAGGAGGAGATGGAGAAGGACGATGGGAATACATCAGACGCCTTTCCTTCCTCACAGCCCAAAGTGCTCGAGCCTCTGCATTACAGGGCCCTCCGATCGATCCATGAGTCGATCCGACAGGTGGAGATGCTTTTTGGCGTGAAGGCGCTGCTGCTGAAAGAGAGGATGGATGGGGGAGAGGCTGGGGAGAACGGGGGTGAAGCGGCGGGGGAGCAGAAGGAAGGGGCAGAAGGGGGAGCGGGGGGAGCGGAGGGTGGGGATGAAGCAGCAGAGGAGGAGGGGCAAGGAGAGGGGGGTGGTGGGGATGTAAGCCCTGTAGCAAGAGGAGAAAACGTGGTGGCGAAATGGGAGAAGGAGGAGAAGGAGGCGGAGACCCGCCGGCGCAAGGCAGCAGCGCAGCATGGAGACCTGCTGAAGATGCAGCTGCAGGAGCTGATCTCATGGTGGGAAAAGAAGGGTGACGGACGTCTGGGCCCGCGCGAGAGGGATCCCTTCCAGGGCAAGCCAGAGGAGGAAAAGGCAGCGAAAGAAGAGCTGTTTGAGACAGTGCTAGCGGTGGTTCGGCTGCTGCCGGCGTTTCCTACGGAGTGCCAGGGGAGCCTGGGAAAGATGTGTGATGTGGGAGGGGAGGTGTGTGAGAGGACGGATGTGGATTTGTACTGGGTGGAGCGGGTGGTGGCATACAACCCTCCCGAGGTGCTCAAGATGATGCGCACAGAGAAGGGCATTAAGCAGCTGGTGAGTGGAGGAAGGCGGGGGGGAGGAGGGGGGTGAAGATGCGTGCTGTGGAGGGAGAGACAAGGGGAGAGGGAAGGGGTTGAGAGGACGGATGTGGATTCGTATTGGGTGGAGCGGGTGGTGGCGTGTAACCCTCCCGATGTGCTCAAGATGATGCGCACAGAGAAGGGCATCAAACAGTAGGTGGACCGTCTCAAACCTCCTTTTCCATACGAACGCCCTCCTTCTTCCCCCCACCCCACCTGTGACCCACACCACAGGAGGTGACGATGCAAGAGAGGAAGGTGCGGGCGAGTGAGGAGGTGGTGGCACAGATGGTGAGCGACTCAGCAGCTCAGCTCAGAGAGGGCGGCGTGGAGACCGAAGCGTTTGTGATCAGCCTCAAGTGCCCTCTCTCCCTCGCCCGCATCAAGGTCAGACCCTTTCGTTCCATTTTATTTCCCGCTTCCTTATATGGCTGCTTTGTAAGGTAGGCGAAGTGTACTTGTTGCTCCTGCTTGCTTTTCCACCCATCATCCCCCATCCATCCCCCAACCCCCATCGCCCCACTGCAGGTGCCACTACGGGGCAAGAAGTGCTCCCATGAGAGCACATTTGACCTCGCATCCTACCTCCGCTTGAACCAAGTCATTTCAGAACTCACTCTTCTTCTTATCTGGTTTCCCCCTTTGATTCTCCCATCACCCATCGCCCCACTGCAGGTGCCAGTGCGGGGCAAGAAGTGCTCCCACGAGAGCACATTCGACCTCGCATCGTACCTCCGCATGAACCAGGGTCTGGCCAAGAACGTCAAGCGGGCGTGGCGCTGCCCTATTTGCTACCAGCAGCTGCTGTGGTCCGAGCTGTTCCTGGATGGATTCAGTGAGTCCAACCACTGCGTTTTCTTGGAGACGACTAGGCTTTGAGTGCTGCTGTTGCTTGCACACCCATCCGTGCACCACTGCCTTTTTAGCCATTTGCTACCAGCAGCTTCTGTGGTCGGAGCTGTTCCTGGATGGATTCAGTGAGTCCATGAAGAGCGCACTGCACGGTATTGAAGTCCCATGCACCTTTTCCATCATGCTGCACTTGCTAGGCTCCTCCTTTTTCTTTTTCTCCCTCCCTCTCCTGCCTCTCACCCGCCTTCCCTCCCCCCTGCACCTCCCCATCCTCACTCCGCAATACATCTCCTTGCTTGCCCAACAGTGCAAAAGTTTTTTTTTTATGGAACGAGTGGGGATTCGTTTACAGACGGCAGGTGGAGAAGGGTGGAGAGCGGAAATGCTTCTGATGGAACTTGCTAATCCTCTGCCTTCCTTTCCTCTCCTACCTCTCCACATTCTCTGCCCCCCCTTCCCTCTCTCCCCACCTCCCCCTCCCCACTGCACCGCACTGCACCCCTCCGCTCTCCCAACAGTGCAAAAGATTCTTGATGAAACGAGTGACGAGGTTGACGAGGTGGAGGTGTTTCCAGATGGCAGGTGGAGAGTGGTGGAGAGCGGTGATGGGGAGGACGGGAGCTGTTCTGAGTCGGATGAGGAGGAGAGGATGATAATGATTGCATTGAAGCAAAGAGAGGAGGAGAGGGCGAGGAAGGTGGAGGAGGAGGAGAAGAAAGAAGAAGGAAGAGGAGGAGATCAGGGCGTTGGAGAGAGGGGCGGAGGGAGATGGAGTGGGATTGAGTGCGGTTGGGAGTGGGGGGGAGGAAGGGAGAAGGGATGGGGAAGGCATGGGGAGGGGGGATGAGGATGAGGACGTGATAGAGACTGTTGGAGGGGAGGGGAGAGAGGGAATGAGAGAGGGGGAGTGCAGAGGGGAGGGATGCGAAGAGGGAAACCAGGTGGAGGAGGAGGAAGCTGTGGAGGCAACTGGTGGTAACCGCCATGTGAATGGGGTTACAGCGAGCCTGCCCTGTGTAACAGGAAGGGACACGGACACGGTTATTACATTATCATTTCCGAGGGATACGGTTACATGTAGTTCAGTCTCAAGGGACGCGGTTACTCCGACTTCTCTTCAAAACGGGACGGCAGAGGACTCAGACGCACTTGCACCCAGTCCAGTTTCTAGGGTCACTGCGGCTCCGAGTGAACCTCAAAACGGGACTGCAAGAGGCACCGACACACTTGCAACCAGTGCAGTTGTGAGGGACACAGATACTCTTAGTACTGAAAACGGGACAGCAAGGCAAAGAGACAAGCGTGCACCCAGTTTAGTTCCAAAGGACGCAGTTTCTCCTTGCACTGCCCAAAGCGGGGCCACGAGAGACAAGGGATTGGCATTAGCAACGAGTTCGCTCCCTGTGAATGGGCTTACAGTGGGCGAGGCGCCTCAAGAGTTGGCTCGTATGGATGGGCGAGAAGTGGTTGAGAGAGGCTCAGAGGCAGGGAGGGGTGGAGCAGCAGCAGCTGTGGTGGTTGGGAGGGAAGCATTGGTGGTGGTGGGTGGGGCTTTAAGTGGGGTTGCTCCTGAGGCGCCTCAAACATCGGCTCGCGTGGATGGACCAGAGGCGGTTGGCAATGGCGCTGAGGCGGAGAGGGAAGCGGCAGCTGTGGTGGGTGGGGCGTTGAGTGGGGTGCCTGAACCAGCAGGCAGTTTTGTGGAGGCGTCATGTGTTGTGGCAGAGATGAAAGGTGGGGTGCATGGGCCTGCAGGTGATATGTCAGGTATGGCAGGTAAGGCGCATGCACCTGCAGATGGGACGGCTGGGATAGCATGTGATGCGCATGCATCTGCAAAAGGGACGCCTGGGATGGCATCTGAGGCGCATGGGCCTGCAAAAGGGACGGCTGGGATGGCATCTGAGGCGCATGGGCCTGCACAAGGAATGGACTGGAGGATTGAAGAGAAAATGGTTGCTGATTCCAATGGGTGTGGGCTTCAGAAGAAGAGTGCTAGGGAAGAGACAGAGCAAGGGGGACAGTGTCGAGAATTGCTGGTGGGGAGTGTGGTGGGACGAGGGGAGGTGAAGAAGGAGGAGCAAGTATGGGAGGGTTGTGATCTGCTGTTGGGGAGTGTGGTGGGAGGAGGGGAGGCGGAAGAGGAGGGCTGTGCTAGGGGTAGGGGCACGAGCGTGGGTGGAGTTAAGAGGAAGAGAGACGAAGATATGGGAGGAGAAGGAGCGGAAGGTGGAGGAAAGGGAGAGGGGGAAGCGGACGGAAGTAAGGAACAGGCTGAAAGGGTTTCAGATATGGGGATGGAGAGGAGGAATGGGAAGGATGAGAAGGATGAGAAGGATGAGAAGTTTGGGAAGGTTGGGAAGGGAGGGGAGGAGGAAATGGACGGGAAAGAGGGGAAGGGAGGGAAGGATGGTGTAAGCACGGGTGGTTCTGCTGGCAGTGGTGGTTCAGGGAGCGGCTCAGGGCAACGGAAGGGCAAGAAGACTGTTATGGTGGTCCGTGATGTGAATTTCATCTGCACGAAGGAAGAGGCCGCTCGAATTCGACTGCAGCTGGAACAGGCTCAGCAGGGGCAGCAGGGGCAGCAGCAGGGGCAGCAGCAGGGGCAGCAAGGGCAGGGGCAGGGGCAGGAGCAGCAGGGGCAGGAGCAGCAGGGGAAGCAGGGGCAGCAGGGGCAGCAGCAGCAGCAAAGAGTGATTAGAGGTGTGGAGGAGGGAAGCAAAGGAGGAGCAACAGCTTCTAGGGGGGTTGTTGTTGCCCTAAGAGCAAGAGGGAGAGGTTCGAGCGATTCAGCAGCAGCATCATCTGGGAGGGGTGGTGTGGTGGAGGGAGGTAGAGGAGAAGCATCAGCTTCTGGCGGGGTTAATGTTGCCACACGAGCACGAGCAAAGGGTTCGAGTGATTCAGCAGCAGTATCCTCTGGGAGAGGTGGTGTGGTGGAGAGTAGGAGGGCCACACGCGGGACTATAGAGAGGGAGAAGCGGGGTAGTGTGAGTAGCAGTGTGACAGTAAAGGGTGCTGGTGTGAGTACGAGGGGTGGTGCTACTACTGGGGGGGGGAAGAATGCTGTTGGGAAGAGTGGTGCTGGTGCTAAGGGTGCTGGTGCTAAGGGTGCTGCTGCTAGGAGTGCTGGTGCTGCTAAAGCTGTGGAAGCAGAGGTGATTGAACTGCTGTCCGATTCAGATGAAGAGGAGGAAGAGGAGAAGGGTGCTGCTGGTGCTGCTGGTGCTGCTGGTGCTGCTGGTGCTGGTGGTGCTGGTGCGGGTGCTGGTGCTGGTGCTGGTGCTGCCGGTGATGGTGATGGTGGTTCTAGTTATGCTGGTGCTGCTGCTGCTGCTGTTGGCGTTGCTGCTGGTGGAGCATCAGGTGCTTCTGCTGGTGGAGCTTCAGGTGTGCCAGTTGCACCTGAACTGCCGTCAGAGAGTGTTACAAGGTGATTTCCGCTTAGGCTAGTAGGTGCAGAAACAGACACAAGAAGCACATGGGTCCAACATCCCATCTCCCATCCACATCTTTCACAGCATTCTACCTTCCTGCTCCTTCCGCTTTTTAATTTCTCGCAACGCAGTTATCCCTGCCCTCCCTCTCAAGCCTCGCGCCTCCCCTTACCTCCCTCGAATATCCCTTCTTTTCCGCCCTTCCATGCTCCTGGTTTCCCTGTCTTTTGTCCGTGTGTCATCTCTTTTTTGTCTCCTCTGTAGAGCAGAGGGAATGCAGCGGACAGTGCAAGAGGGCATGTGCCATCTGCTGTCCCAGACGCAGCAGAAGCAACGCCATCACCAGCAGCAGGGGGAGCAGCACCACCAGCAGCAGAAGCTGCAGCAAGGTCAGCAACAGCAGTTAAAGCGTCGGCAGTGGCAACAGAGACAGCGTTTAAGGCAGCGTGGGCAGGACTATTTGGATCGCCGCAAGCAGCAGGAGCAGTGTGTTCTGCCGTGGCAGCATTGCCAGCAACGGCAGCACAAGCAGCACAAGCGTCAGCACCAACAACAGCAGTGCCAGCTGCCGCACCAGCAGCACCGTCAGCAGCAGCACCTGACCCAGAAGCAGCCACGACGGCAGCAATGGCAGCGACAGGCAGGGCAGCCGCAGGAGGACCGAGGGCAGCAGGCAGTGACAAGACGACTCAAGCAACGACTCGCTTAGCCCCGCCAACAGATGTGGCAGCTGGAGCAGCAGGAGGAGTGGCAAGAACAGCAGCAGGAGTGGCAGCAAAGGCAGCGTTTATGGCAGCGTGGGCAGGACTTGGATCGCCGCAAGCAGCAAGAGCAGTGTCAGCTGCAGCAGCAGCATTGCCAGCAGCGACAGCACAAGCAGCACAAACAGCAGCAGTGTCAGCTGCAGCAACAGCAGCACCGTCAGCAGCAGCAGCAGCAGCAGCTGACCCAGGAGCAGCAGCGACGGCTGCAATGGCAGCGTCAGGCAGGGAAGCAGCGGGAGGGACGAGGGCAGCAAGCAGTGACAAGGCGATTAAGGAAACAACTTGCTTAGCCTCACCAGCAGATGTGGCAGCAGCAGGAGCAGCTGGAGGAGTGGCAGGAGTGACAGCACCAAGAGCGACAGCAGCAGCTGCGGCGGCACCAAGAGCAACAGCAGCAGCAATGGGAACAGCATTAAGAGCATCGGCAGCAGCAATGGGGGCAGCACCGAAAGCAACAGCACCAGCAACGGGAGCAGCAGCAAGAGGAACAGCAGCATCAGCAACGGGAGCAGCACCAAGAGCAACAGCAGCGACAACAACAGGAGTGGCAGCAAGAGCAGCAGCAACAGCAACAAAAGCAGCACCGCGAGCAACAACAACGGCAGCAGCGCCAAGAGCAACAGCAGCACCAGCGAGAGCTGCACTAAAAGCAACAACAGCCGCAATGGGGGCAGCAGTAGGAGGAACAGCAGCAGCAACGGGAACAGCACCAAGAGCAGCAGGAGGAGGAGGAGGAGGAGGAGGAGGAGGAGGAGGAGGAGGAGGAGGAGGAGGAGGAGGAGGAGGAGGAGGAGGAGGAGGAGGAGGAGGAGGAGGAGGAGGAGGAGGAGGAGGAGGAGGAGGAGGAGGACCTTTAAAGTTGCACATCATTCCTCCTCGTCGCCCAACCACTGCCAAGGCTGCAAGCACATCTCACTTGAACAACCACCACACTCAGCACACTCTCCCCACTCGCCACACCCCTGCCACTCACCACACCCCTGCCACTCACCACACCCCTGCCACTCACCACACCCCTGCCACTCACCACACCCCTGCCACTCACCACAACCACCACGCTCACTCGCACCTCGCAGCAAAACAGCCTGCTCGCCCCACACCTAAAGGCCAGTCTCACTCTAACACTCACCTTAGTCACTCGCACTTCGTTCCAATGCAGCCCGATGGTCCCACTCCCGCTGTGATACCCGCTTCGACTGTCAACCCCGCTCCAAAGAATGCTGTGGTTTCCGCTCCTCTCTCTTCTGTCCCTTCCTCTAACCTCTCATCTCTTCCCTCTGCCACTCACTCAGTGGCTGCGCTCTTACTGCCTGTTGGCTCTAAACATGCCCTAACTTCGACCTCCCTTCCTGCGTCTGCTCCTGAAATTCCCAGAAGTGACTGTATTCCCTCATCATCTGCTCATCTCTCCCCCCGTCTCTCTCCCCTCGTCTGTGTCCCTTCGTCTCTTCCGTCTGCTACTCAATCAGTAGCTGCAATCATACTGCCTGTTGGCTCAAAACAAGTCCCGACCTCCACTTCCCCTCCTGCGACTTTTGAGGCGCCTCAAAAGCACACTCAGTAGCTGCAATCATACTGCCTGTTGGCTCAAAACAAGTCCTCACTTCGACCTCCTCTCCTGCTGCTGCTTCTTCCGCTCCTAATGCCCCTAATGCCTCTGTCCCTCCTCTTCCTGCGGATGCTCCCTCTGTCATTGCTCCAAGAGAACCCCTGTCTTCTGCTACCGCCCCCACCGCTGCATCCTGAATTGTTTCTCTCTCCACTGCAGAAGGCCATAGTTTTCCTGTATCTCTCCCACCTTTGCAACAGTTCTGTATATTGCCACGCAAAAAGATGCTTCAACTTGTAACTTGTCAAATGTTGAACATTGATATGATAGGCTATAGTGAGTTGCACTCTAGGGGGTACAGCTTCTAGGGTTGCTCATTTGTACCCCATTCGTTTCTATTCCAATCATTCCGTTGTTCGCTAACTTTGAGATGGTATCATGAGTAGGTGTCGATCCTCTCGCCTAGCCTAGCCTAGCTCGCGCCCTAGCGCCCTCCGCGCCCTTGCGCCCTAGCACACTCCGCGCCCTCCGCGCCCTCCGCGCCCTTGCGCCATAGCACCCTCTGCGCCCTCCGCGCCCTCCGCGCCCTCCGCGCCTTAGCCACCGCGCCCTCCGCGCCATCTCCGCGCCTTAGCGCCCTCCTCCTCCGCGCGTTAGCGCCCTCCGCGCCCCTAGCCTGCGCCCCTAGCCCGTCGCCCAGGCCCACGCCCTAGCCCGTCGCCCAGGCGCCCGCCCTAGCCCGTCGCCCAGGCGCCCGCCCTAGCTCGTCGCCCAGGCGCCCGCCCTAGCCCGTCGCCCAGGCGCCCGCCCTAGCCCGTCGCCCAGGCGCCCGCCCTAGCCCGTCGCCCAGGCGCCCGCCCTAGCCCGTCGCCCAGGCGCCCACCCCAGCCCGTCGCCCAGGCGCCCGCCCCAGCCCGTCGCCCAGGCGCCCGCCCCAGCCCGTCGCCCAGGCGCCCGCCCTAGCCCGTCGCCCAGGCCTGCGCCCTAGCCCGTCGCCCAGGCGCCCGTCCTAGCCCGTCGCCCAGGCCTGCGCCCTAGCCCGTCGCCCAGGCGCCCGTCCTAGCCCGTCGCCCAGGCGCCCGTCCTAGCCCGTCGCCCAGGCGCCCTCCCTGGCTCGTCACCCCAGCCCCGCAGGCAGCGCGCCACGCGGGTAGCGCGCCCCGCGGGTAGCGCGCCCCGCAGGAGGCGCGCCCCGCGGGTAGCGCGCCCCGCAGGAGGCGCGCCCCGCGGGTAGCGCGCCCCGCAGGAGGCGCGCCCCGCGGGTAGCGCGCCCCGCAGGCAGCACACCCTGCAGGCAGCGCGCCCCGGGGTGCTTTAGTGCCAGAAAATAAATAAATAAATTAAACCCTAAAAAAAAAAAAAAAAAAAAAAAAGGGGTTCACAGTGGGGGCCTGCGACTGTCGCCCGCGTTCCTGCTTGCCGGACGACCTGCACAGTTGCCTACATCCCGCAGCCGTCAGTACTGCAGCCCCTACTGTCGCACGTACTTTCCACTGCCAGTGGCTCTACTAGCGGCAGCCGACAGCCGCACTTACGGTCTCTAGCCCCGGCCGTTCCTACCTCCAGCCAGCCCTAGCTCGCCGCTTCTAGCTCCAGCCGTTCTCGCTCCAGCCGTTCTCGCTCCTCGCTCGTAGCTCAGTTTGCTCCGTGCTCCGGCCGTTCCTCGCCTAGTTTCACCTGGCGCTTCTAGCTCAGTTTGCTCCGTGCTCCAGCCGTTCCTCGCCTAGTTTCACCTGGCGCTCCTAGCTTAGTTCGCTCCGTGCTCCAGCAGTTACTCGCCTGGTTTCACCTGGCGCTCCTAGCTTAGTTCGCTCCGTGCTCCAGCAGTTACTCGCCTGGTTTCACCTTGCGCTCCTAGTTGTTCTCGTTTTTCACAGCAGCCTGTCGCTCCTGTCGCTCCTAGCCTGCCGCTCCTGCACCCCGCTAGCTTTTATCATGGAGTCCACTAGGGTTCTCCAGCAGCAGGGACAGCAGCAGCGGCCTTTTCAGCAGTGGCTTCCGCAGCGGCAGGGGCGCCCTCAGCAGCTGTGGCGCCCTCAGCAGCCATGGGGGCCTGGTGGTTCAGGTCGCGTTGGCTGCAGCAGCGGCCCAGCCAGCTGGGGGGCTCGTCGCGGTGGCCGCGACGTCGGCCCCTGCCAGTACCGGATCCTGACCGGCCCTGGTGCTGGCACTACCTGCTGGCGTCCTGACCACTCTGCACAGCGCTGCTACAGCCGCCTCGACGACCTTTACCGTGAGCGTTTTGGGCCTAAGTCGGCTCCCCCGATCTGGCCCGGTCTGTTTCGTAGTGGTTTCCCTGTGTTTGATATGTCTATGGATGCTGTTTATTCTGTCACGTACGGATCTCTTGGCTTACGTGTACCTAGCTTAGGACCTTTGCCTGTTGCTAGTGTCGGTACTTGTGCTTTTAGTGTAGGTGCTTGTGTAGTCACTAGCCCAGCCGTGACGACTGCTGTTGCGTCGCTCTCCTTCACGCTGGACTCCGGCGCGTCTCAGTGTTTCTTCCGCGACCACACCACTGTCACACCTCTTTCGGCTCCAGTCCCAGTTGCCCTGGCTGATCCTACTTCAGGACCAGCAGTTGCTCGTAGCTCGACCACCCTCCCGTGCCCGGCTGTCCCCTCTGGTTTCCTCACTGGTCTCTACATCCCCTCGTTCTCTCGGAACTTGGTGGGTGTTGGATACCTTCAGGACCGGGGGATCACAGTCACTTTTCCTGCGCACGGGAGGACTGCGATCTGTACGGACTCTTCCACCGGGGCAGTTCTTGCCACGTTCACCAGAGAGCCCCACTCAGGTCTCTTCGTCCTGCACACTCCGCCCCCGCAGGTAGCTGCGTCTGGTCAGGTTGCTTCGTCCCCCCCGGTAGCAGAGTCCGGTTAGGTGGCTGTGTCCAGTCCGGTCGCTGTGTCCAGTCCAGTCGCTGCGTCTTGCTCCTGTCGCTCTCTCGCCCACCGCACCGTCCTGTGGCACCACCGTCTTGGCCACCCGTCGATCCCTCGCCTTCGTGGCATGCTCAGTCAGGGACTAGTCACAGGTCTCCCACGCACCTTCCCGTCGCTCCCTCCCTCGCTTGCCCCTCCTTGCTCTCCGTGCGTCGCCGGTCGCTTACGTGCCACTCCCCACTCCTCCTCCCTTCGTCCGGCCACCGCTCCCTTCGAGACTCTCCACTTGGACGTCTGGGGCCCTGCCTCGACGCAGGGGTCTGGGAGGGAGCGCTACTTTCTGGTGGTCGTCGACGACTTCTCCAGGTACACCACAGTGTTTCCTCTTGCGAAGAAGTCCGAGGTGGCTGCTACGCTGATCAAGTGGCTTCTAGCCACTGAGGGCACTCGTGGTCGTCGAGTCAGTTGTCTTCACTCCGACCGTGGGGGCGAGTTTCGCTCCGGCATTCTCGGCGGATTCTGCGGCGAACAGGGCATCACCCAGTCCTGGACGCTGCCAGAGTCCCCACAGCAGAATGGGGTTGCTGAGCGCCGCATAGGCTTGGTCATGGACATCGCCCGCACGTCCATGATTCATGCCCGTGCGCCCCATTTTCTGTGGCCTCACGCGGTTCGCTACGCCGCACACCAGCTGAACCTCCAGCCGCGTGTCTCGCGGCCCGAGGCTTCACCGACCAGTCTCTGGACTGGATCCCCTGGTGTTGGGTCGGCCTTTCGAGTCTGGGGCTGCCTTGCACTTGTTCGCGACACCTCCGCGGACAAGCTCTCGGCACGCGCCGTCCCCTGTGTCTTCCTTGGTTTCCCAGTGGACTCTGCTGACTGGTCCTTTTACCACCCTCCCCTCCACCAGTTCCTAGATTCCCGTGACGTCCGGTTTGACGAGTCCGTGTCCTACTACACCCGGTACCCCTGTCGAGGTCTCCCGGTACCCCCTCCCCCTCTCTTCCTCGCACCCTCTCCTCCTCCTGCTCCCGCTCCTCCGGTACCCCCGCCCCCCCCTGGTCCTACCCCGTCTGGTGTGTCCCACGCTACCCCTCTCCCCTCGGTCGCGCGTCAGGTAGCGTCTCCCTCCCCGCAGTCCTCCTCACAGTCCCCTCAGCAGCCTTCGGCACTTCCGCGACAGGTTACTGTGGACTCGGTTGGTGTTGGAGCTGGAGGTGCAGCCGCTGGCGGTGCTCGGTCTGGGGGTGCTCGGTCGCGGGGTACTGGAGCTGGAGGTGCTGGCGCAGGTGACGCTGGTTCTGGGGGTGCTGGAGTTGGGGGTGCTGGCACTAGCGGTGCTAGTTCTGGGGGTGCTGGAGTTGGAGGTCCTGGCACTGGCGGTACTGGTTCTGGGGGTGCTGAGTCTGAGGAGACTGACGCT